GCGATGGCTTACATTATGTATACATATAGTGTGTCAAGTGTATCCTGTCTCTATAGCTCTTCCTCGTTTTACCGTCTATTTTAAACAGATAGAACGCCTTCCAATCACCAAAATTAATTGATTTTTTAGTCCTATTCAGATACAAGTTGTAACAGACGTTCATGAACAACATACACAAGAGCAGTCACAAAAAGATGCTATAATGTGAAAAGTATTAGGTAATGCTGAATGCCAAAAACGATTTCGTGCTAAAAAAGGAGCATTAAGTAATAAATCAACTCAAAGTAGCTTTCATTAACCACGAACTAGTGCTGAACGTCAAAGATTATACATAGCAAATAAGAAATTACGACAAAAAATACAGAAACTCAAGAAGAAGAGTTTACACAAGCCCAAGAAGAGCAATATGTACAACATCTCGTTAAAGAATGTTAAATGTTGCAAATAAAAAAGATATGTTACATTCAAAAGGCAATTAAATTAAATTTGACCTATTCCTGATCCATTTATAAATTATTAGACTAACAAGAATATTAAAATTATAAAATATAATAATTATTGCCATCATACGTTAAACAAGTTCAATATTTTATGGTTTCTATTAATTTATGAAGTGAATCACTTTTGTCGAGCGTCCCGTGACGCCTGCCTCCTTTTTTTTATTACACAAAACACAAAAAATCCACATCATCAAAAATCATGATTTTTTTGATTAATTTAAATATATCAGTGTTTTTTTATTTTTTTAATAAAAATCAATTTTTGACCAACACTGAAATAAACTGTAATAGCGAAGTAAATAAATGACTGAAACCCAGGAAACGAATTTGCATTAAAATAAAATTTTATAGTAAAATATATTTTTTTCTGCGAAGAAAAGTGCGAAGATTAATATCCTATCAACATCAATAACTTCCGGTTGATCCCAATTAGCAACAAGCTTAAAAACAATGATAGGTATATCTCAAATTTCTTCGTCCTTCAAAAATACATAACTTTATCCATATAAAGAAACGTTAATTAAATAATTAATTTCCTTTTTGTGGCCAATCGAATGTTCCTAAATCGTTCTCACCTTTTACATGTTCCTTCTTGTATTGCTTGTAATTATCTGTAAATTCAATGGAAATTCTGCTTATTGAAATAAAACCATATAATTTAATGATAATAATGCTATAATAATAATAATGACAGATAACTGATGGTATTAAAACCGCTTATAAAATAAAAATTTTCCGTACGGGTTTCATAGCATACAAAAACCTACACACTATTAAACATGCATGTGAGTTATTTATATACAGAGAGGTTCTAAAGTGGCGTCATTTGAACCACACTGTATATGAAGTATGAACAAATTAAAAAAAATACAAAGCACAGAAAGTGATATAAAATAGTACAAAAATTAACAAAACACTAAAAAGTATTTTTTTTTATTCAATTGTAAAACTTTAGACGTCCAGCGCCCGAAATCCACTCAATAACGCACAGTTTCACAAACTCTCCAGCGAAACTAACTGCTCTTCCAAATGTCGGCAAAAATTATCGTCTAGAGCAGCAGCAATCGTCGCTGGAATAGTCTGAACTGCAGCAGCTGGTGCAGCTATCGTAATCAGACGAGTCGCTGGAATAGTCAGATGAGCAATCAGAAGATGACCAGTCTCTACATCCACGTCTACAATTTACATTGGATTTTTTTGCCGGTGCCTGGAAATAACAATATTTATTATTCCTAATAAGTTTATGAAAACATCGAAGCAATGAGTATTCTGTACTTATGTAGATTTTATTTAACATCCAGCGATGAACATCAGTTTAAGGATACCATTATTAAAAATTTGTCCCATTTTAAATGTACCGATATTAATTTGCGACGTTTCTGTAAATTGAATTTCCTCCTTTAACATTTTAGTTGCCATTTGTTTAAAGCATTGCTCGATATAGATGTTTCTAATTTTAACTTTTTTTTTTTAACTACAAAACCAGACTCTTTTGTTCTGAAATATTTTAGTTCCCAATTGATGTACTTTTGTTTGCTAAATAGACAGAAATATTTAATTTTGTGTTTTAATTTAACTATATAGCCGTTTTGCCCCGCACTTTCAATATTTATAATCCTACCTACAAGCTACGAAAATACGAAAAATGACTCAAACACTCAAACTGAAGATAAATTAATGCCCCTTTTGATATATTCGTTGCCCTAAAAACTCGCTTAGAAAATGCACAGTAAAGCCCAAATAATTGAGAAAAACTAGACTTTTTTAAAATAAAACCTAGGTTTCAAGGTGTTGAAAGAAGAAAATAGATACATATTTTATATATATATGAATTTTTGAATTTTTATTCATTGAATTTCCAAGTTATTATTTGCAACGTACAGACTTAACGTGTCTATTATAACCTTCTCTATAAAACTGTACTATTAGATTTTAACAAAAACGCAGTTATTGAATAAAATATTATCAATTTAAATTAATAAATAATAATTACATATAAGTTGAAAAGTATCACCAAGCGTTTTCTAAGAGACGATTTAACAAGGTTCAATCTAATCAATTTACTACGAAAATATATAAATTCGAAACCAAACAGATCCTCTACAAAAGCTGAAATAGTCCCAACTAGATTTAAGGTGGATTTTTGAACCTGCATCAACTCTTTATATGATACGAAGCAGAAAATAGATTAAAAACATTTTTTTTTTATTTGATTTGCACATACGGAGGGCGCTTTTTAATTAGAAAAACTTACTCAGCTTACTTAAAACATTAAGCGGGAGGATAGAATTTGCAAATTTAGTTACACCTACCTACTCAATTTACTTCCAAGCCAACTGATAGGCTTCTTGTTTCTTTCTTCAAATAATTATACATACCCAGAGGATAACAAACAGTTTTGTATAAAATCTTGATACATTTCAGACAAAAAAAAATTAAAGTTAAAAAAGTTCCCATTTGCGGTGTGCGAACACACCTCCAAATCGTAAAGAAAGTTTCATGAAATGGTACTAAACATATTATTTTATAACAAGTTAAAAACTATGCAAAAGACCAGTCATAAAAATAAAAGAGCAGATCTTGAAGCAGTTAACACTTTTCGAAAAATCAACGCAAAGGGTAAGCAAAAACTTACCTTTCTGACAACTTTCGTTCCACATCCTGATGAGCAGCATCGCGAAGACGCTGGCTTTTTTGGAACCGTTTTTTTAGCAGTCAATTTTTTGGTGGAACATTTTTGAACTGGTTTTTTCGACGTGCATTTTCGAGGTCTACTTGCTCCACAACCTCTAGGCATTTTGGAAAATCGATAAGAACTGGTAGGTGACTAGTACTAAAATAGAAATTAGTATTACAAATGTGTTTTAATTTAAAAGGCGTTAGATAGAAATGCGTTCAATCTGGCTATATTTCAAGCGTTTTATAAAGTTCTTAATTTTTGCAAAAACACGGACTGATAGAAAAAGCATTAAACTCAATGAAGCTTGAAACAGAAATCAAATCGCTGGCAGCACTCAGCATTTATTCAATTCTAAAGTTAAGCCAAATTACATCCGGAGTAGGGATTATTTTCTTTACCATTTTAAATTTATTTGTACAATTCTGGGTTAAGAAATGTTGATATCGAATTTAAAATTTGAAGAATTTGAAAAAAAAATTTAAAATTTGCTGGCATTTATCACAAAAAACTTTTAGTTACTAAAAAACAATACCTACAATAAAAAATTGGTGTTTTCACTTTAGAATTTAAAATCATTGGAAACACACATTCGCTGATTTGCCTTTGTAGCAAAGAATTTTGTAATTGGTCTTATGGTTTAGCAGGATTGCAGAAATTTGAAGATATATATAAAATTAACTTAAGCAAATAATTTAATTTAGCAAATATATGAAAAATGGATGTCATTTATGGAACAAATTAGTACTAGCGTTAAAATAAAAAAGATAACGCATAGTAATTGATAGGTTGAACAATGAAAGGCGGTTGAAAGATACCTCGTGCAATTACGATATGAAAAATATATTAATTTATACTCTGATACTACAGTACCTAACTAACCTACCTTTCAATTTATTAAAAAGAAAAATTAGTAAAACAGTGGATCTACTAGCAAATCCAGCCAATAATCATTGTGTTAAATATTCAGCTATAAATTATGAACATTTAATATATACATATTATATATCTACATATTTGCAATAACAGTATGTAAAACAATAACTAGTAGGAAATACATCTTTACCTGTATATTATTAAAGCGACGTTACTGTCTGCTAAACGTGGCTGAAACGACGACAAATATAATTTCAATAGTATATTTATAACGATTTTCAGCATTTTGATCAAAAAAGTTATCATCAGAAAATGTTAGTTATTTCCAAGATATCGGAAAAAAGAAATTCATTTCGCACAGTTTAGCTGGTTTGTTGTCGACATTTTTAAATCGCTGGTTATTGTAAAGAACAGTAAATATTATAAGCAAATTAAAAATATATCGAATGAAAATGACAAAATATAACAGAATAGAAGAATAAGGTTTAAAATGTTTTTAAGTGTCACTAATCCTGCAGCTCCGATCGATAGTTACTGCATTAATAAAACAAATATTTCAATAATTACATCCAAAATCGCGATCAAAATTAATTGAAGTCAATATTAATAACTTACTTTACATACTTTACATACAGCCTTTTCTTAAGTAATAAAGATTTTTACTGCCACTACTTACTCAATAAAATGCATTTCATCTTAATTGTGTTTGAAAATATGTACATGCAAATAATAGAAATAAACCGTTAACTACAACAGAAAAATAATTAGTTTCCTTTTCGAGATACAGGAGGTTGAAATAAAAATATAATAAATAAAAACAATTTTTCGTATATACTTAACTCATAATCTTTTCGTCGATATTGTTTAAATTTAGAAGCGGTATTTACCTACAAGAAAAAAGGCGCAAATTTGGCCCCACATAGACTGATTAACTGATAACAGATTTTTTTTTAATTGTTTCGCTGACTTTATTTCAATTCTGCTACCTTTTTCGGATTAGTCAACTACCTATTCAAGTTCTTTGCTTGTTGATTTTTTCCGTTTTTCGCTTTGTTATTGAGATAAAAAAATGAAAACCACTTTGTTCTTCCCTGGGGCAACAGAGAATCATCTTCAAACGTTTGGCTATACACTTAACGTAGTAGCTAATTTTATCTACATTAAAACAAATGGTTTATACTATTCCACTTCAAAAAATCGCTTTCGATTGGACAATAAAAAACAAATTAATAATTTAGGCAGAAATAATCTGCCATCAACTTAGTATAAGTGTTCATGTTCCACATATTTTCAAGTGTTTACTCATTATTAAATTACAACTCTCGCAGACAAGTTATTGTTCACTTATGACTTTTATTTACGAAACACTCATTAACTATCTGCTTAGTTTGTTCAATTTCATGCAATATCTGTAATTGAACAACTGATATGTCGAGCTATTTATGCTTAGTCGTGCTTGGCCAGTCCAGTTTCACTGATTTAAAGCCATGAAGTGTTCACAATGTTTTGTATTTATTTTATCAATTATTATATTATGCTTTGTTTTACAAGTGGAAAATAGTAAGTCAGTCTAACATATATATCCTAGAAAAAATTCATTTGTTTTAGTAATCAATTTATATTAACTTGATTAAGTTCAACTAAATAACATTCTTAATCAGAGGAAGCCACAATCTAACTTTTAAAAATCTGAAGCTCGTTCTAAAACTGGAAACAGGCTTTTCATTTGAAACCGTTTAAAAGAAAAGTTTAATTATTGTATAATATAAGAATTTATTTATTGTGATTTGAACAAAAATACGTGAATAATTCGGTACATTTGCATAAAAGTAATTTTGTAGCAAACGCTTATTCAGTTCAAACGCCATGTTTCAAAGCACAAAATGAATACGGCCAAAAGATCAAAGGTGACCTGCATTTCCCTTATCAATCAAGATGTTATTATGTTTTTTTTCATCTAGAATTGGTTTTAAAATTGCAGTGGAAATGTTTGATAAAGAGATTTTACAGGTACAACTTGATGATCTTTATTTAAACTAAACTCTCAAAGTGAAGTACTTAAAAGAAAAAATACAATTATTTAAGAAAATTATAAAGTATCAAGCACCACATCGCCTAAATGCAAAGTTATACAAATAATGTTCAGATGTTCGAGATTCATATGTTAGCTGAACTTTTAGAAGCGTTCCTCCAGATTTCCAATTAATTCTTTAAAAGCGAATACAAATAGAAAACAATTTATTGACCATTGAATAATTGTAACAGCAGAACAAACTAAAGTGATAAAAATGTTTTCTGTTTATACTGAAATGTTGAAAACTCATTAAACATGTAACTTTCAGAAAAAATATTTAAAATCAATACCTCAGGAGATACTTCAGTTTTAATTCCTCCACACCTGGTTGAGCTTGCTGGAAGGCTGAAATATATAACTCCCAAAAAGGACGCAGATGCAGGTTGTAAAATTTGTGAGAACGCAGTCGATGGCATTATTGCTTTAAGAAGAAGTAATGCAACGAGAGACGTAATGATTGACTATTTAAACCATATCTGCGTTCTATTTACGAGTTGGGGTATAGAAGGATGTACAGGCAGGGTCAATATCGAAACGGTAAGTAAGATAGGAATTAAGAGAAAGTGGGAACTTGTCTGAAAACACAGGTTTTGTTTTCATTTAAATTCTCAATGTATTTGAAGCTGAAACGTTGTGCTTATTTACAAAATATCTTAATTTTAGGACACTATTTTATATATAATCGACCATCGACAAGATCTAACAGCAGCCAGGTTTTGTGCTATTTATTTCCAGAACTACGGATGTGAAGATCCAAATGCAGACTCATGGAGTATTCCTTTACCTCCAGTTCCCACCACACGAACTCAAAGAAAGCATCAGGTAAAACTTCGCAATATTAAAAACAATTTAATTCTAATTAAGTCTTTATGAAACGACTCCCTAGTATGAACAATATATTTTTTTAATTATAAATAAAAAAAAAACAGAAAAAAAGCTTGGCAGAATTTGCGTTCTCCTTTGGTTTTATAATTAAATTGAACTTAATGGCGGGAAACCCGGACGTTTTATATATTTTCATGTTTTGGGAAAAAATTGCTACGAAAAAGTATGTTTCAACTGCTTAACTGTTACCGGCAAACATTCACCATTTGGAGCTACGAAAATCCAAAAGCCACTATTGAGACACCGCTATATCCAGTAAAAACCCGCTGTTTGATGTGCTTTTTTTGAGGTCTAGTGGAATCAAATTGGAGTTCTTTCGCAGATTGCTCTTCATTCGAACCAGCCGCGGCGCCCATATGACCCAAATCATATTTGATCTATACTTACATACAATTGTCTTCAATAAAGCCACTACCATCCTTTAAGATTAATTTTATTAGTTTTATTTCAATTTAAAGTTCTATACCTCTAAAAAAACACCCTTTACTTACTCCTAACAATTTTCAAATAGGCATATTTAGCCAGCAGATGTTGGCTTAAGAAGACTACATTGCCAATAGAAAAAAGATACATATTAGTGGTTGATGGATTATTTTGTTTTTAGACTGACACAGGCAATATTCAAATACTGCAAATTACAGACGTTCATCTGGATCCGCTCTATTCTCCAGGGAGTAATTCCAAGTGTTCTGAACCTTTGTGTTGTGAATCAGGAACTCCTGCTAATGCTGAAGACGCTGCTGGCTATTGGGGGGATTACGCTGTTTGTGACATGCCGTGGCATACTATTGATAACATGATGGATCAAATTAAGAAAAATCATGTTAGTTACTTAACAACCCAATATTCTAAGTTTGATTTGGAATTAATTAATTATTTTAGGAAGATATTGACTTTATATATTTCACCGGGGATATAGTAAGTCATAGAACATATGCCACGACCGTTCAAGGAAACCAGGAAACTATTAAATTATTATTTGAATTGCTGGAAAGAACGTTCCCAGATAAAACGGTTTACCCAATATTGGGCAATCACGAACCACATCCCGGAGATTTGTAAGTATACCTTCAATAGAAGTAATACTCGTTTAAAATATTCATAAGGAGACACGAAGTTGACAAAATTAAAATAATAATTTATTGAGTAAGTATATTTAATTGAATGCATAATTATACATACTATTACTTTCATTGCTCTCATATAGTTTTTGTATAACATCATTCCACAGAAGCTTATTAGTGAGTGACCTCACAAAGATGTAATTTGCCTACATACATACATATATTTCTTCCAAGAGCGAAACCAGTAAAACAAATTGTAGAAAATTTTAGAGCTTATTAACTAAAGCAAACAAAGACAAAAGCATTTAGTAACATACAAATTCAAAAAAACTTTTAAACATTAACAAAATGAACTTCTGAATTTCAGTGCAAAAATAAACAGGAAATGTGTACTTCGGTACGAAAACAAAACCTACTTCGCATATTTTTCCATCAGAAAACTACAGCTAAATGAAACTAATTTAAAAAGCACATTTGTTCAATTTTACAAACGCTTGTCCCATTTCCAGATCCACTTTAAAAAGGTCCGAAATTTTAAAAATTAAAAGCAATGAACTTAAGTACCACAAAAGAATATAGCTTTAAAAGGTACTTTTACAACGGTAACATAAAGAAACAGATAAGTTTACTTTAAAAATCTACTTTCCTATTGTAGCTACTCACCACACGACGTTCCAACAAGTTCCAATGTTTCTACTCAATGGTTATTAGACTTGGTAGCAGATGAATGGTCGAGATGGCTACCAAATGCGGCACAAACCACAATAAAACAAGGCGGTTTTTACACAGTATTGGTGAAACCAGGTTTCAGAATAATTGCGTTGAATAGCAACGTTTGCTTCACGTCCAATTTGTGAGTATTCAATCGGATAATGCGGAACGACACCAATGTGGTGAAACATTAGTCAATTTTGGGCAAATAATAATTCAATTTACATTTTAATCGAGTGAGTTCTATTCAAATCAGCACCGTTTCAAATGTCCATCCGTTAGAAAAACTGAAAAAAAAATGGCTACAGATAATTAAACAACTACTTCCAGTTATAATAACTACAAGTCTGGATTAGATGAGAAAAATCTCATTATATCAAACGCTTTTTGCAGATGGTTAATTTACGCAAACATTGATACTTTCGGCCAGCTGCAGTGGCTGGTGGGAGTTCTAACTGAGGCAGAAAATAACGGGGAAAAAGTACACATATTGTCTCATGTTCCATCTGGTGATGATGTCTCTTCTTGTGTGAAAATATGGAGCAGAGAATTTAAGAAGATTGTCCTAAGGTATTGATTATCAAAGTTTACTGAAACTTGTATAGTTGGTTATCCATTCCACAAAAACTCATTAATTATATATCAGGTTCTCTAATACAATCACGGCTCAATTCAATGGACACACTCACATGGATCAGTTTGTATTGTTCCTCAATGAATCAGATGAGGTACAATCAGTGGCTTACAATGGAGCAAGTTTTGCAACTTTCATTGGATCGAATCCCAACTATAGGATCTATGATTTGGACAATAGTAATTTTGTGAGTATACTCAGTAAGTGAATAATCGCTGAAACCACTTGAATATTTATTTTCGGGCAGACTGTGACTGACTATAGTGAATACACTTTCAACCTTACTGAAGCAAACATCAATGCGGAATCGTCACCTAACTGGTATAAACTTTACTCGTTCAAAGACGCCTATGGATTACCCGATCTTACGCCAAAATCGCTCGGAAATTTATACACCCAAATGGCGAGCAATAATAGCGACAATGCATTAGTAGACAAGTATTTCCGGTACGTGTACAGAGATAGCGATGTATACATTAAAGAAGGCTGTGACCAAAAATGTAAGAAAAAATTAGTTTGTCTACTGGTTGCTTCTGAGAGCAGCCAAAGTATGGTCTGTTAAAAAATAAACGCATTGTGTTTTAGTGACGATAATGTAATTTTTATTACTAAAAACATTAAACATTCACCTTTACATCAATTCATCAGCATTTAGTCCGTCATTTCAACATCATTTACTGTTAAATCGTCCAGCATTTCATCCAAAGTTATGCATGGCTTATTCGGATCGTAATCAGTGTCATCAGTATCCACGGCAAATAATGAATTTTTGAAAATGTTGACGTTTCGTCGCAACTCCGGATCTTCTTCCAAATCATCCATAAACTCATTAAATTCACTAAAATTGTAACAAAGTCCTCATTATCATCATCAAATTAACCTTCCAAAACACATACTTTCCGTCAGTACTTTCAACATCGTGATCTGCCAATCTTTTGAGCTTCCAATTCCTCTTTCGCATCCTTTTTGATTCTCTGTCGTCAAATGACTTTTTAACTAAAATCACATCTGGAACCGTAGCTTTATCCAACTTGTCGAAATGAGGGTCGTTTACATTCGTATCGGCAATGTTGTATCTAAAAGTTTAATACAATTTACAATGAGTTTAATTATTTGCCCAATGTTTTTCACGAAAATTTAGAAATGTTTTATACTTTATGTGTATGAATACAAAACAATTAACAAATGTCTGCATTGCAATCATATATGAACATATCAGTGATGATAAATGTTTCAGCCGATCGCTGAACGCATAACGATATTGTCAATTAATTTGTGAGCAAGAATCCGCACTTTAAAATACATCAAGTACTGATGAATAATATTTTATCTCTTATAGAAGAGGTTACCGAAATAACAAATTGCTTCGATATCGTGATTTTCCTAACAAGCTACAATACAAACACATTATATTCCAGTTGAATCAAAAGCAAATACTTTTAATAGGTATTAAAAAAAAACTCGAGCGTAATGTTGAAAAGGAATGCGGTTTTGAGTGAGTAATATCAAAGATGACATAAAAAATTTGAATTCTGCCGATATTTTCCGCTAATTTTAAAATTTAAAGGAACATGTTTGAAAAGCGTATATCTGAAAAATTTTGTTCTCTTAAAAAATTGTTCAGAAATACCTCAAAAAAAAAGCGTGAATGACTGCGAAATTAGATTATAAAACTAAGGCAAAACCTGAAAAATGGTTGAAAGTATTAAGGAACTTACCCTAAAACACAATCGCCTAGTTTCAAAATATGTCCCAAGTGAGTTCTGGTATGTATGGAAGCAGTAGTAATTCCTAACTCGGATGCTTTCACAATCCACACATCCGCCAAAACGTGTTTAGTAGAAATCATTCCTTGGCCTGGAAAACACTTTCGATCTTTGTCCATTATAGGTTCAATGTCCAATACAATATACTCCACTAGTTGTTTCGGGTTGCATATTGAATTAAATTGACTTCGCCAATAATGCGTGCTATTCACCTCGGCAACTGAAAAAATTATGTAATTAACAAAAACTGGCAGCGTTTAGTGCCCTGCCGAGACGCGCAAGGAGGCCACTTTGTAACCGGCTGAGTATATTGTAGTCAAAATAGTTGTTTAGTTTTTATTGATAAATTTTGTTATTATTGAAAATTAACCATTTTCTAAAGTTTTTGCGAGAGATCAATTTTTATTGTCAGCCTGTATAATAGCTATGATGGATTCAGACAGATTTATAACAATCCAAAAAAATTAAACACGAATTCACAGAGTACGATGGATCGAAATTAACACCACATTTTTACCGGGTTCCAAAAATTTTTAAAATAAAGATTGAATTTTTTTCGCAAGAAATAATGATTATGATTATTGATATTGTAAAAATAATTAAACGTAATGATTTCTAAACTGCTGTTTGATGATAATTACCGTTTCCAAAAAATAAATTGTGCAACATAAAATAATATATAATAATATGTAGGTAAAACATAAGATAAATAGTAGATTCTACTGCTTACCTTGTCCTCTGGAGGGATCAATCAAATGTATCGTATTGGTAACGCGATATACTAAACAAATAGGTGAAATACCGCCCAAAGATTGGGTCATTTTCTTGGGCAAGCAAATAACACTGTCTTTGGATATTGGAACAATCTCAAGGCAATATGTAAACTTGTAGTTGTAAATATTACTATGTATGTCGTGTGATATAAGTTTCTTGGAATGGTGATACTTGCAAGGCAAAACTGTTACTAGAAAATCAATCATCTTTTTAGCGTGGGCTTCCGTGGCAAAAAAGAAATCTATGCCACCTAAAAAAAATGATTCTGTATTCAAATGCAAATGAAAACATCTGCCAAGAACGCACCATGAACTGGCTTGATTTCCGTTGCGTTATCGTGAACTTTATGCTTCAAAATCAATTGCTCCAAGTAATAGAATGTCTTCTTATTATCGGCTCTTTGCCTCACTTGTACCAACGCTCTCCAGAAATCTTTTGCTTCTCTTCGATGGCAATCATCACACATTTGATGGTTCACGGTGAACTCCACTATGAAACTCTTCTCCAGCACAACACCCATCACTTCAGCGTGAATAACCAGCTTGACCTATGACATTAAAAAAAATCAGCATTTATACTTGCTTTGATGATAAAATCGGTTGGAAAGATCATTAGGATAATGAAAAACATACTTTAATCCTCTTGGAGTGGGGCTCAGTCCAGACAAAGCTGGCGTCAAACAATTTGACTCGATTAAGGCCCTTAAGTCGTTTCAAGCACAATGTTAAAAGCTCTCTAGATTCAAGAGCGCAATGTATCCATTCAGACGGTGGCTGGTGATATCTTTCGCATCCTCTGCAAAAGTATAAAGTTGCCTGATCTGATATGCCCTCTGTAATGTCCACATGAACTCGCAGACATCCGACGCACATATTTGCTGGGTTTGCCTCAATGATTACTCCACATTGGCAGCATGGCCTAGAACAGTCAAAGTTTGAGTATAAGAACCAGGATACAACTTGACTTCGAATCGCTTTTTTAAGTAGTTAATTGGAGAATGAGATGCTCTCCTAAAGAGTTTGGTGTGTGCGCCATTATCTTTCAAAATATATTTTCGTTGAACTTCACCTTGCAGTAATAGAGTTTTCGGGGGCTTTGAGCCCGCGACTGAATCAAAAATACTTAAGTGATTTCTTTAGCGCACTTGTGCAATAAGCAACCAGAAATATATTTTATTAGTTTGTTATAGCAATCTAGTTTACACCAATAAGCTACTTTTCGTTAACCTAAACTACTAGATGTACATTTGCAAAGTGTTATCCTATGATATTAACTTCGGCTTTGTCACTGGATTACTATTTTAATGTGTACATATATAGGCATATTTATTTTCTGTTGTTAAGAATCAACGATTAATTCCATGCGCTATGCGAGTGGTATACTTTGTAACCCTTTATTTTGATAAAGGATTGCTTGGTGAAATTCTTTTCACCTTTTTTCTGAGATTTGACCACGTTTCTGAGATCATACACACTTCAATTTTATGTATGTCCAGGATTACTTGAAGTTCTTCTTGACGCTTGTTGGGCAATCCATTTGCTTTCCAACACATGATGTTCACTTTTTCTTGTTGTCACCATTTTTATTAATTGTGATTTTTAACTGGTGTAGTTACAACATATTTCCTGTAATTGGCTGGATGGCCTTCCCCACAGCACACATTTCGGGACTTGACTTTTCGACTGATCACATTCAGGTGCTGGGTGCCTGCCAGTACATCTCGGTTTCTTTGAGCAGCATTTCTGGGTGTGTCCATATGCCTGACATTTTTGCATTGGGGGATCAGTTTTGATGCCTTCGTTGCCTCAATCTCTACTTTACATCCAAGTATGTGTGTAATTTTGTAAATTCTTTCTCTTTTCTCTCTCCATGTCAACTTGTTGTTTGCCATGATGATTTTGAAACCTTTTCTTTTTTACCATAACACGAATTGGTCGCGTTTGCTTGATTTCATATGTATGAAATTCAAGTTCACTAGCTGTTAACATTTTTTCTATAGCTTTCTGCATTGGTACAATTAATTTTAGCTGTTGGGTCGTTAGTGAATTTCACTTGAAAGTCGGTTTCCGTAACTTGTTTTACTAGTTCCCATATAATACTTCATAGGACTCTACATTTTCCACCATGAGAGGGGGTGGCTTAGGTTCCTTTCGTTTCTTGCTCTGCTGGCAGTCTCTTTCTCGATAATTAAGGGAGATTTTGGCGGAGATGTTGCATTCAATTTTCGTTTTTTGGTTCTGTGCTTTGCTGTAATCCACTAGGGTTCTTTTGCCAGCTCTTCATCATCCGTATGGTATTCGGTTTCCTTGCTTGTGGATGGATGGCGTCACTAAGAAAAGTTGCTAATAAAATACTATCTATAAGGGAAGCTCATTTTTAACAGCTCAGACCCTGGCTCAGAGCAGGGGCTGATGTCCTTGAAAATTAAGTACCTAGCAGGAAAAATATTAACTAGTGAGCACGTTTTTGACGCGGCAGGGGGCTGATGTTCGATCATATTACTAAAAATTTGAGTGCGTAAACAGTTACGCTGAAGGGTCCGGAGTCCGACCCAGCGTGGAGGCCTAATACGTTCATATAGAATTATCTTAATACTTACACAGATGTGGACATATCTACGTCATTTCTCTCGAGAGGTTGTGCCATTTTAGCACAACACAAAACAGATTAATTAAACGGAAAATAGTGAATAGCCAGTGAACGTGAAACACATTGCCGAAAAACGCCACAAGGTTATTCGCGGGATCCGTCTTCCATGACACCTGTGCATGACACTTATGATAGAATTAATTATTGAACCTCGGCTTGCCGTGCAGTGATCTGACAACGCCGATTTATGGCCATTTATTAAAATCTTTGAAGAAAGCCATTATTTATTATGGCGTCGATTGCTTGCAGTTTAAGTTAGCCCAGGAGATTTAACTGCTGGTTGGTCAGATTTACCAAAAACTTGAATGCTATGGAAATATGAATTTTATTTTTCAATACAAACCAGTTAGTTGAGATCATAAAGGCAGCGAAATTATGGCAGCACACCTAGTTTATAAATAAAAAAATTATAATTTATTTTGTACGAGTGTTAGAATCGTGATTTTTGCCGGTTTTACCAAATTTACCAGCTTATTAAATATTGGTCGTGCGACGACGGACGAATTGACAGATCTCCAACCAATAGAAACACTTTCGTACCATCGTATCATCGTACAGACTCATGCATGGAACACGGGCTTACCGCAACTGGCAATTCAAAATTTTCGCAACCTTTGCAACATATTTAGATCTGCGAAAACTAAAACTCACTTAAATTGATTGTAAGCCTGATTTTTGTCAGCTTGGTAAAAAACGGTCTCAAAATTGCAGTTTTTACTCAACTGCGTTCTTTCTTTAAAAGTTCACATCCTGCAAACTAACGCAAGGAGCAAATTAAATTTTCCCCATCTCTGGAACACACGCGGATCTAAGAATGGTGAAAGTTTAATAAAAATCGCCTAGAATCCTGTTGCTTGCCAGTTGGCAGCTATCGGTCTCAAAATTGAAATTTTACTCAATTGCGTTCTTTCCTTAAAAATTGACAGAATATACAAACTAACGCATGTAACAAATTCAAAATTCCCCTATTAGAACACACACAGATATAAGGATGTTGAAAGTTCCATAGAAATCTGCCGAACCCTTATTTTAGTCAGCTTAGTAAATTTCGGTCTCAAAATGTGAGTTTTCACTCGGTTGCGTTCTCTTCTATAAAAAATCGTATTTTCTCAAGTGAAGCCAGGAGCAAATTGGCAATTTCCCTGCGTCTAGAACACATTCTGAGCTAAGGATGCTGAAAGTTTTATTTAAGTCATCCGCAATCGCAATGTTCCAGAGTTTGTTAAATCGGCTTCAAAATGAAAGCTTCTACTCAACTGCAACAATAATTCCTATCTTCAAAACAAACCCAAGTGAAAATTTCAAATTTACTTGGAACACACTCAGGCCTACTATACAGGGTGATTCAAAACTGGCGTCATTCCTCAGGAGGTGTTGTCTGGCGGTGTTTTAGGAGTGCAGAAAAATTAGTAAAAAAATTAATTGTTATAAAAAACTGAGAAATTTGCAAAAAACTGTATTAGAAAAACGCCAACCGGCATGTTTTTCAAGGCCGCAATAATCTGCCTAATTAACATTACATAAATACCTGTTGGTTCGTAATTATTTAAAAATAGAGAGTGACAATAAGATAGACAAAGATAAACGGCAAATTCAACAGGAATCGTTGAATGGTGAAACCTATTTCGACTCATAACCTCGAGTTATTAATTTGTTTACAAAGTACGAAAACATACAGTTGAGCCTGTAACTCCAAACACTGCCTGTGTAATCACCTTATTATGCATTCTTCTCGAGCAGCTTTTCGTATTCGGTTAATTAACTCCTGCTCAATTTATACCGGTGTTCAGTAATCCATTGGTTTAATGTGTATCTTACATACGTGGTAGAATTGACAGGTCTACAACCAATAGAAACACTTTCGTACCATCGTATCATCCTACAAACGGATGCATGGGACACGGGCTTAAGTCACAGTTTGACAAATTATTGTTATTATTGACAAAGGCTATCTACCTGTAACTATCTGTTAATGACAAAAAACATCATTGCCGCTTTGACTTTTCATCAAAAAATTGTAGAAGAGAACTTTTCTAATATGAAAAATGTTCGTAATTTGCAGCAAAGATCGTAATTTTTCTTTTTGAATACTTAAGTATTCCAATATGCTACCAATTAAACATGGAACACTTTCAAAATAATGCTTACTAACAAAGTTGAAATTCGATTTTCAACTGTTAATATCTTCTAGAAATTATCGAAAAAAAATTTCAATATTTTTCTCGTACCTTCCAAGTGAACCCCTATTACCCCGGAAAAGGAATGACGCCAATTTTGAATCACCCTGTATGTATGCTAAAGTTTCATGAAAATCTCGCCGAATCCTGATGTTTTCCTGCTTGGTAAATATCTGCCTCAAAATGAAATCTTAATTGACTCAACTGCGTTCTCTTCTCTTAAAAATCTCCCAAACTAACGCGAATAGCAACTTCAAAATTTTTTCGTCTTTGGACCATATTTGACTCTTGAAATTTAAAGTTTTAAAAAAATAGCCAAGAATCCTGGTTTTGCCAGCTTAGTAAGTATCGGTCTCTAAATACATGCTTGTACCCAAACATCGGATAAAAGGTAAACAGCTTTCGACTTTTCTATATAGCCAAGTTACTGCTAACTATTAACGTGATTTTTCAATGTATTTTCATAGCAATTCAAAACCATTAAATTCGTATAAGAATTTATTTATTTAAAGTTAGGTAACTGTAACATATAAATCAAGGTCTACATTCCTATAATAAACTATGTACAAAATAGATACTTCCTTGTAAATGCATCTCGAACACATTCTTAACCCCTGCTAATTATTATATTATCCTAATTTAACATTACCTAATATTATTTGAGTCATGACTAGAATTTACAAAACTAAGATTATATTTGAAAAAGTCATGGCCCCTTAAAAGGCACTGTTTATAGTTTATTACTAATTCGTTTGATCATATTTTTTAATACTGATGAATCAACGTTCCTTATAATTTAATTATACAATATACAAATAAAGATGATTAATCTAATCGAACGAACTAAACGTATTGAATTATAAAACTAAATTGATTACATCAATGAAATATAGGTGGTGAATGCTACATGAAATTCCCACTCTTTGTAGTGATAATTAGTTTATACAAATAATGAACATTATTATCGTCAACGATAATAATGTTTTGAAAATTCAAAGGTTTAAAAAAAGGTATGCAAATTTTCTCAAAATCACAGAATCGGTAAAAAAGTGTATCAAATTGCGATTAGATTTGTTTTGAGAAAAATGCCGACGAACGTGTAATAATAATAGCAACCCAAACTCGTAATAATAGAAATACGCACCAGGTGTAGAAACTCCCAAATTAAAAACTGATTTTTTATTTTCTAATAAATTGAAAAATAGAAAAGCGCTTCAACCGCCTTATTTCTCGTACTTGTTTATTGACTTGGCCAAACAAAACGCAAATAAAATCCCGACAATTTCGATCAGTCCCAGGACAGCGGCCGATATAATAATTATATTTATATTCACCCGTATCCATTCGATTGTTTTCTCGTAGCATCCCTGCAAACACACATTAAATTACATACATACATTAAAAATACTACTCGTAGACAAACTCACCAACCGGTAGTAGGAATTAACGTCATTAGGTGAAGTGGTACATGTGGGGTCCAAAGGCTTATTATCCAAGCTAAGCGCACAACATGATGAGGGAATGATGTAACTTTGATCCTTCCAAGCTTTGTTGTTTTGATAATCTTCACCGCTTTCAACCTAAATGATTCAATTAGACAAATTGTTAATATAATTTTTTATACAGTATTTTATACGCTTACCCCGCAACATTTGAGACTAATCTGCAAAGAATCCCAGGCCAAAGTAACAGCATCTCGAGTGTCAGTACCATTGTAATATGTTTCTAGCGACAGTTTTAGCATGCTCTTGGTTTCTACTTCGGCCTAAAAAAAATATATACTCGGAATTAAACAATGGTTTAAATGAGGAAAGTGTGCTAATATGTTAATTTGCTAAGTGTAGAAACGCTTAATTATATATGCCGGTAAGTGTTTTCCGGTTAAGAAATGCGTCAAATTTCTGAAAACTTTAAAATCCAAAATTCTTTACACTCTTTTGAGTTATCCATTCTCACATTCTTGTGATTTTAGGGCTAGTGATGTTTTGCTTGGGATTACTCCCATGACCCAAAAAATGTTATACAGAGTGCATCAAAATGATATGCAACAATTTTTTTTTAATTTGAGGTAATTTGGGTTTTTCAATGTGACCCTCTCGCAAAAATTAGACAAGATTTGAACAAACCACATGCGAATTAGAGTATAGAATATGGTATACAAAAGTAAATACATATTATCGTAAACAAAAAATTAGTTGATTTTCTGGTTTACGGGTTGTTTTGCAAAAATAATTAATTAGTTAGATAACTTCATTTATCGAGAGATAAGTGAGTTTCGTATTGTAGAGTAGAAATAAACTGTTTTATTTTGAATCTTGATCGAACACGGAAGAGTCTGAGGAGCTACAAAAATCAATAAATAAAAAAAGAATTTTTTTCGCAACATGTTTACAAGCAAAGTGACAAGCCATACACATAACTACTGATTAGTAATAATTATTTATTCAACACATCTTCGGGCTTTTCGTCTGTACTAAACTGTTTCGAGTATGTTCTAACGTTAAAGAGTTTACAACATATGTATTTTTTGCAAAATCATTAGTCGATGATTTATAATAAACCAATTTTTTCAAACCAAGAAAATAAAAAGAAGTGAAAAAGTTTGGAAATGTCGACGGACATTTGCTGGGTTAAAATTGTTAAATTCGTCAAGTAACTAATTGTGTGTCGGCTGATCAAATGCATATTTCCTCAATTATTTATTTATAGAAGACACAATTCTTTTGGAGCTGAATATAAATTGATTCAAAAAAATGACATAAAATGGGAATATATATCTTCCACATTTGTTTCAACACAAACATACAATATTATGGTTTCTTATATATTCTTCTATTCTTTCTTCCAATGCATGCATGTATGTCCATATACGATTAAATTAACCAAGTCCTCAATATCTTCTTTATCATCATATAAAACTGTTGGTATTTTTAAGCTACGAACACTTCAACGGTCGATTGTTTCTTATTATAGAGAGGGTGAATTAAAATTCGGTGCAGAGTCTCACAAAATGAGAAAAAAAGTTCAAACTTTGAAATTGCATTGTCAAAGTGAAACGAAAAAAATGTTCACAATAAAACAGGGAATTTGTGAGAATATCGTCACTCAGTGGCGCACCAAGAAAAAGTTTGGGGTCGTAAAAGAAGCGAAATTCGGCAATAAAATAGCATCAGAAAATGAAACTAAAAGTCGGTAACTTCCTTCAATCTAGTTTATGATCCGAAAAAGTAATGTTGCTAATGTGAACCAAACTTCAACCTTAAATAAAATCCGAAATATTACAAATCTCCTAAGATATCAATTTCAGCATAAAAATATATTGTTACATTATATATTATAAGTTAACTACTTTATATAAATGTATGTATAATCTATAAATGTGTTATCAGCCAACCAATAATCAAGCAATTACCATCATCGAACATGAGAAACGAGGTTCTACGAGGTTTTGCACTTAGCAATCCATTTAAAGTTAATAACATTCCTAATAAAATAACTGCATTCGTGTTAGTGCAACGCACTACTTTTATTTGTTGAATGTTTGATTGCGTTAAATTCTCACCACCTAATTAGATCAGGCGAGACATAAACACCGCCTGTACTTATATAACACATTTTGGTATTCAGTGGATTACACTAGATTATGAAGAACCAACTATCACACACTTAAAACCTTAGTTTCAACTAGATGAACAAACTGTTCGCAGTCGATTTAAGAAATAAACGAATATTAACGAATTTAATAAGAAAAATATTAAATATATTGAAACAATTCAAATTCATTGTAATTCAAGTAAAAGTCTTAAAAGTAAAAGTAGATTAATTAGTTAATCACCGTAATCTTATTCACTTACTTTTTTGCTTCAAATTGTTGTTTTGTTACTTGCTTTATTTCACAAATTACACCTTTAAAAATCATCTAGATAATATGGCTCCAGTTCTAAAGCGTCCTTTTAATTTGTGTCTTAAGTCCTTTTTCGGTAAACATTTTTAAATCACGAGCAGCAAAAGCGATGATTCTCAATGTTGATTCATATTTTATTATTTCTACTTACTAATTCAAAGTTATTAGTTTAAAGTTTATGTAAGAAAAACTGCATTCTATTTTACATTCATTTGTACTTTTACTTCTTAAAAACAAATTAGTGTTATTAGCGAAACTATCTATGCATACATACAGAAGGTTTGGTAAGCAGTTAGCAGGTGCATTTCTTGTAGAGGGTAATAGTGCAAGTAATTTTAGACATATTTCGTTAATATACCGTGTTCCGAAAACGCTTAGTTTCCAATCTACAGGGTATAAGTTTTAATTTAAAAAATGTTACTTATTAATATTGCGGAAGCTAGGCCTGGGTAACACTGTGTTGCGTTGCGCTATTGAGTTGTTGCCGCTCTAGGAGTTAACGAGTTATAACTCATCGGTTAATGAGTTATAAGTAATTTAATAAAGCTTTACGAGGCCCGAGACTGGAATACTCACATATGAAGAAAAAGTCATGAACATTTTATTCTGAGTAACGTTTCACTACTTTATTCAAACTAAAAAAAAAAATATCTAGATTTTCCCGGCAACAGAACTGAGTCCAAAGAAAGTCGACGAGTTTTCTTGTAAAATCAATCTCCTAATTTTTTGCATAAAATATTCAGTTTGCCAGTATGAAAAATGATATTTATTTTTTGAAAAATCAGTGGTGCAACATTTTTTTTAAAATTATGTACAGACGAATCGTATATTTTGTTTCTTCTCAGTAAGATATATACGTAAGTATAGACTTATCAACCGTTCGCCGATTTTATTCAAGTATAGCACCAGTTTTTTTAGAACTATATGGACCAACGACCTTTTTTGTATTAAAGTTTTGTAATTAAGATTTGAAAAAAATATTTGGTAGATATTTTCAAATATTGTCTTTTGCTGATTTCTATTTTATAATTTATTATTCGCTCAATTACTCACCTAAAATACTCCATTGAGTCGACAAGCAGACAACGTTACAAATTATGATTTGCCGGACTTTTTATCTGATTTTTATTAAATTTAAAAATTACTTGAAGTTTTGATTACTATCAATAAATTTTTGTAGTTTTTATAGCAATAATCCCAAGCATCTATTTCTACCGAAAGGCACGAATTTGGCAACTTGGTGCGAAAAAAGTATTAATTTTTACCCGTGTAGCATCCTCATAATGGGAGGTGTTAAAATGCTAACGTTAATGAGTGAAAAGTGATAGAAAACACATTTTCCCTAGATACACGACGACAGAAATGTTTGAGTTATGCGATCATCTACAACGTAAGTAAATTTTTAACTTCGGACGCCAGAGGGATGAAAACCAGAATCATGATTCGCTTGATTTCAACCGACTGAAAGAATACAAATATTGTGAAAATTTCTAAAAAATCTCTTGTTCTAATTATTTATATACTTACCATCAATTTTGATTTTTTTATTAAAAATCTAAATAAAACTGCGGCTGAAATATGTTTGCAATTAACTACCTAAAAATGGATTTCCTCTCCAGGCAATTTCCCTACTACTTCCCACGCCCTGTTATATTTGCATGTTAATTAGCTGGATTATAAAAGTTCTACGAGATTTGCTTCAATGTCGTCTTAAAGTACCTACCTGATAGTAAATTAGATCACCCAATTTAACGGTATTAACAATAAAATTGTACTCATTTTTACCTTGGACTTGTAAATTGCTGCTAAGATTCCGGCGGTAATTTCCACAAGGATGATCACGATCAGCATTATACCATACTGAAAAAAATAAAATTTTATTTAAACAGTTATCCCAAATTTACTTAAGATTTATAATTTTGAATTATTGGTTTTCAGCAATATCATAGTAGTTTTTTTTAGCACAAGTTGCTAAATGGGTACTTGCACAAATGCCTCAATTAAATCACATCGTCGCTACTGATGTAACCGAACACAATTGTTGAAAACCCCTGAACAAGTAAAATTGCTAAGTACGACTAAGTCGATTCTTAATATATTTGCCGAAACGTTCAAGTTTTAAAGAAAGTTACTGATTATATCCAAAAACATTAGCTAATTTGTTTTTTCACTATAAGGAAATTATTACGCATTGTTTGAATGTGCGATTTTTTTGTTGTGAAACTAGATACGACTCAAACTTAATTATATTATTTGGGCGATTTCATAGTATGTAATAGCATTACTTAATGCACCCTCCTTATTAGTAGATAATGAATGGAAAATCACATGCAATTATTTTTTGAAGCTAGACTTTAACTAACTTTAAATTAAAAAATCCCAAAAATAATAATTTTTTTCCAAAAATATTATAAGCATGGAAGCTTTATTTAAAATGCTTTTTTTCTCATTCTAAAGAAAGTGCTTTTTTTTCATAACTAGTCATAAAAAATCTTATTTTGGTACCTTTTTTCACAAAAATTACAGTACACAGTTTCGCCACTGTTTTAAATATGATTTTGATCAACTTCAAGCACTGGCAAACTTTATATGCTTTTCAACAGAATCGTGTTTGGCCACAGTTTAGCAAATCATTTTATTCGCAGTACTCATCGATCGTTGTAAATAGAGACTGATAACGTTCTACCTTCTGCCGCAAAAATTGAAACACTCTGTAAATGTACTTGCTTCAAAACAATACGTCTTAATGCAAATAAGAATCTCAATAAACAATGCTATCCGACCGATATGAGTCAGATCAACACAATGATGACAAAGTCTCGATAAAAATTAATTTCAATTAATTAGAAAACAGTTGCTTCGCTTAGTAAAGGCACTTGCCATCTTACAAATTAAGCAAATTTGCTCTCGTATATTGTAAAATTAATAAGCATGTTTACTCGACTTAGATTACCTAGAATTCGAACGAGTAAGTCACATTATGAGGGTTTTAAACTTTACATTTTGCTTTCTTCTCTAAGGAAAATGAATGCACATTTCAAGCAATTCGATTTCGTATTTGACTTTGAATTGTCATCATCAGAAAGGCCAAAGGAAGTAAATCGAATTACCAAAGTTTTGGCTAAGAAAGTAACTTGTTCATTTTTAAGGTTGCCACTTTCAAATGTGTGCTCGAGTATGACGTGCAGATTTTGTCATCAAGAGTGTAATCACCATTCTGGTCTTAGGTATTCACGTTTTGTCATGCTTTTGCCTTTGGATGCCTGATCGAACATTTCCAATGCTCATAGTTTAGTTATGTTTAGAAAAATCGTTAATTATCCAAATCAAATGATAAAATGGTGCTAACGCTAAACCCTGATTTTTGCGCATTTTGTAAACGAAGGTGTAAAAATGAGGTTTTCTCCACTTGCCACATGCACGCTTGCCAGTAGGAATCATTAACTTCCTATCCAGACTAGATGCTCACTTTAAAATTTCAGAGTGTACGAGACATTCGGAAAGTTTCTCTTGATGCGCAATAAATGTTAATGAGGTGTTTATAGACGAAAGTGTTAAATTGCTTCTTTTGTAGCGCGCTGCTCTTGTAAAAATTATAACTTGCCAATTAAAACATCTAATAACTGAGCACATTGCACATTCTATAGAAGATAAATAGAGCTCTAAATTATAAAACTTACATATAGATATCACTAAATCCTGATTGTTGCGCATTTTGTAAACGAAGGTGTAGAAATGAGATTTTCTCCACCGGCACGCTCTCCATTAAGAATCCTTAACTCTCCATGCAGACTAGGTGCTCGCTTTAAACTTTCAACGTCTATAGGAAACACTTGTGAAACTTTTACTCGAATCGCAATAAACGTTAATTTTTAAGCTTTTTATAAGCAAAGGCGTAGGTAATCTTTTTTGTAGGGCGCTGTTCTTTAAAATATCCTGACTTGCGAATTAAAGCCGTTAGTAACCGAAGTCTTGCACGTATAGAAGACAAATGGATCTCTAAATTCTAAAAGTTTCATGTAAATAGCACTAAATCTTGATTGTTGCACATTTTATAAACGAAGATGGAGAAATGGCGATTTTTCCACCTGCACGCTCTCCATTAAGAATCCTTAACTCCTTATCCACAACTAGGTGCTTACTTTAAACTTTGAAGGCCTGTAGGAAACACTTGTCTCTCATAATCCGAAACTTTTACTAGAATCGCAATAAACGTTGATTTGAACTTTTTATAAACGAAGGTGTGAAAAAGTTTTTGTAGCGCGCTGTTCTTATAAAAATCATAACTTGTCTACTAAAGCGTCTAGTAACTGAACACTTGCACACCATATAGAAAACAAACGGCTCTCCGAAATCTAAAAGTTTCATGCAAATAGCGCTAAATCCTGATTTTTGCGCATTTTGTAAACGAAGGCGTAGCAATGAGATTTTCTCCCACCTGCACGCTCTCTACTAAGAGTTGCTAACTTGCTATCGCAACTTGTTGCTGCATTTAAACTTTCAAGCTCTGTGGGGAACATTTGGCTCTCGCAATCCTGAAAGTTTTACTCGAATAGCATTTAACGCTAATTTTTGCGCCTTTTTAAACGAAGGTGTAAACATGGCGGAGTTGTTTTCTAAACAGCGCGTTCGCTTATCAAAACTATTGAAAAATGAACATTATTCATTCACATTTTGTAATTTATCTATTGTATTGTTTCATGATTCCTAAGTAATTTTCCAATGATGCCGTTGAAGCAGAATAGTATAAATATTTTGAGTTGTTTACCGACTCAAAACTCACGGACAATCTATCGGAAGATTTCGGAAGACGTGTTCGGACGAATTCAAACTTATTGATTTCTCAATAAACAAACGTTAAAAGGAAAACTGCAGACTTTCCAAATTTTAAAATTATTTCCATGTCCTGCTTGGGCTGATGCTCAGAAAATGAAAAAAACTCTTACTAGTTTAGACGGTTATTCAATATTATTTGTCCTTTTTTAATTGATTAATTACGTATACTTACTTCCCAAATCTGCGAAGTGTTTGAAATAAATTACTAGAGAAAAGTTAATTTAAATATTGCAGATTTTAGCAAAAAAAATCTCAATTCAGTGACTTAATACAAAAAACTTCTATTTCCTAGTCTGAGTCTACTGAAAACCAACTCTTAAAAGTCTCAGTAATAATTTAATAAAATATATTGTACTTACAAGTGTCAGCATACATTGTGACTCTTTCAATGCTCCACAATATCCCATAAAGCTGACCAAGAACATAAAAGCTCCTATTCCTATAAGCACGTATGTTACTTGTTGGATAAAAGTTGGTGAAATAAACGTCTGAAACAAAAATAAACCTGGATAATGTTGGTTTTTTTTTTCAGAGTGCTTAGTAAACTGTATTAATTACAAACGAAACACATTGCAAAAATGTTGCTTGTGTATCCACAAAAAAAATTATATTACAACTAATCGTCAATTTGTAAAAACTAGAATCATCAATAATCCTATAGCATATGTCTTCAATGTGTTCAATATTTACATAAAACCGCAAAAAATTTAAGGCATGTAGCTTACTTGAATACCATTAGCCTGATAGCTTTCAAATTGTTTCACTTACTTTACCATTCACAGTTTGTTTTATAAGTAAAAGTAAATGCTCCTGTAAAGCAAATACCATCAGCTACTATTAAATCGGAATTTTAGGAGCAAAAAACTTGAAAGTTGATCAAAAATCTAAATGACTAAAGCTTTAAACAACGCTTAATTAACACAAATAATTTTCAACTGGAAGGATGGAAATATGCAACAAGCACCATAAAATTGACAAAATTATTCTGGCCAAAATAAACTTTAACTTATTTTATCTTTACTTAAATATAACTTTTATATTACCGCATTAGCGAATTAATGCAATGCAAACCGAACACATTCAGCAATTTAACGTAATTATCAATATATTATGCAAAATCACATAATATTTATATAAATAAGATTTTAAATATTTTTTCAATTTACGAGATTTTGTTTTTTCAAATAATCATATAGTTTCTTTAGTAATTTCAATTAATTTTCAAAATTAACTCGTGACTCGGACAGAATTTGTTAGCACATATTAACGACTAAGCGGTTGGTAATGCAACAATTAATACTATCTCTTTTCCTTAAGATCGACGATAATGATGAGAAGAGCGAACACCCCTGAAACGAAAAATTGAATCCTGTGATAATTTTTTAAAATGAAACAACCCAAATTCAAGTTTACAGTAGTTCAAAGTGTCGACGATGATAAATTGATAATTGTATACTGATTGTCTGAACATTTTAGTAGCAGATTTTAAGAGTCGATATCGAATTGTTTATCAATTTTTATCATGTCCCTGATACAGAGATTCAGCATTGCAATTTTCAACAGGCCATAAAAAAACAAAAAGTGCATTTCCGATTCCTCATCAAAAACAAAAACATTAATACTTATTCCGGGTACACAGCGAACGAATAAAGTTCCATATAAATCATTTTAATTTTCATTCCGATTTGCTAACTGCTTGGACGATTTAATCGACAAAAATTGCCTCTAATAATCTCGACTTATATTATAAAGTTAAACAGGTCGAAACCTGTTTCAATACGGCCAATATATAGGTCTAGACCAATTTAAGGTAATTATTGTAACAAGACCAATAATGCTCGTGGACACAAATACCTACTAACACACAAATCTATTTTCGGACTTATTCTTTGAATCGTGTTGCTCTTGTTGACAAATGTGGAAAATTGATCGATTTTCCGCATTCTAATGCAAAAAAATAATCGATATCACGAGGTTACAATGCAGGAATCAAATAACGAGTCGTTTTACGTGAAAATTACAAAATGAAAACAGCAATAAGCGCAAAGATAAAATAAACATTTGAGGCAAAACCTTCACTACTTTGTTGTTCAAATACACCAATTAATTATCAAACTTTCATTATCCGGTGATTAAACTAGTGAAAAACAAATTCAGTTATTGAAAAGAGAATGACGCAAAGACTAATTTGCCTAATGCCTAAACAATTATAAAAATAATTGTATATTAGTGAATGAAAGCTACACTAAAGCATTGAGGCAGGTGCCTATTTGCATTCCTGTTAAAATTCTAAGAACACAATTTCAATCACACATTGGCAGCTGTAATTTAAATACATTAAAACCGAACATTTAAATAATGCTAATTTACCATATTCATACTCAATACAGTTTTTGCTATAGGTTGCTTTCACTTTCACGTAATATTAATATGCCAACCACAAGGAAATATCGGTTGTTAGCGAACAAGAGATAATTGTCCGCTGGTACTGGAACTTTTAAACTTTCATTAGCTTTTTCTATAGCAACATTAAGGCAAATTGAAACAAATTCAACCTTCAAAGTTGGCTGCTCTCGACGGCATTAAATTAAGTTTAATTTAACCAAACAAAAAATTTTGGAAAGTGATTTTTCATATTGATTATGGTTTGGACCACAGAATGAGTAGCATTTCTTGATTAAAATACTTATAAATAATGTATTTGTTTTAAGAACTTTTGAATTGTTTGTGTTTTATTGTGTTCTCAGCAACTTTTAATTGTAAAAGTCGCGAAACCGACAACAAATTTCAGCAACAATTAAATGTACGCTTTTGAACGTAAAAATGTTCAAGTGTTAATATTTAAGAAAATAATTACGTTGTTATTTTGCACACAACCAATACCAATGCTAGATCGATGTAAAGCAGTTTACAAATCTAAATTTAATTAGGAAATTATTCGCTTTTCCTGAATTTTGACTATTTATTATTTATTCATTTATTATAACTTTTTATTTGACACCTCTTGTGCTAAATTTACTAATATTTTCCATAAATATGCATATAGTAAAAGCAGAAAATTCAATTAATATCCATTGATAATCTCGACAAAATTACATCATTAACTACTATAACGTAATAAAATATTAGAAAAAAGTAATTGGAAGCACGAAAAGCAGTCAAACGTTCACTGATTCGGTTAACCCAAATTACTTTTACATTAATCTGCGAAACTGACGATGTAATGGTAAGTAATAAGTAAAAATGTTTTGGAAGAATCGAGGTTTGAAAATCGTAACTGTATTATTCATTAATTTACTATATTTTTTTAAGTTATCGGACACCCTGTGTATTAACAAAAAATGTACACAAATGTTTCATAAATTCTGCAAATGCTGAAAATTCAATGAATATTCATTGATGTAATTATAAACAGGTAAATTACATCATTTAAAATAATCACGTAATAAAATATAAGAAAAAAGGGATTGGAAGCACAAAAATAATCCAACAGTTCACTGATTAAGTTGGTATATGGATGTAATGGTAATCAATGAGAAAAAACTTTTCAAAGAATGGATGTTTCAAAGGATCTGATGAGCGAAAATCCAGGATAAGACATTTCAGATTTGATTTTATGTGAAAATTCACCAGTAAAAATGATCTTTCGTGTAATATTAATCATGTAAAAGTACAAACATTTACATGCTTTGTTTGAACCCATTGAGGGGTAGTTTGAGGACAAGTCGCCCAATTTCATTTTGTCTATTTTACATTTGTAAGCGCTTAAAACATACAAAAAAATGTTAATTAAATAAAAAATCAATGGTAAAAACTTCACCACGAATGTTCGGTTATCTTTATGATTAATATTTGTAAAAACAATTAGCTTTCATTTACTCATACCTCTAGCTTATCGGCAGGAACTACTTTCAATAGTCCGATAAATGAGCTCATATCGACTAGAAGCCATATTCCAACTCCCAAGACTATGGTCCCAGCAATCTGAAAAAAATTACATAAAAAATGTAAAACATACATAAAAATAAACACTGACTTTTCTAATATTATTTGTTGCAGTTTAATAATACAATGTTACCCAATAAACTTGTTTGAAGACAACAAATTTGTTTAGTTTTTTTAAATCTGGCCTTCACCTATTTAACTTGTTGAGCAAGTTTTGAGGCCATTAGAGCAGTGGGCGGAAAACTGTGTCTAGTTTAACGAAATATCACCTGAATTTGTTTTCGAGGCATATTTTAACTGGATCAGTTTGGATAATTGATAGTGTTGATAAAATGCTTGGCTGTTACAAATTGGCGAATTTCCAGCTAATTTTAAAATAAAATGACAGCGATTCAAAACATGCCATAAAAACGTTAAATAGTAGGTAACAATAATAAAAAATAGTAAACAAAGGACTTTTTGATACTTAAACATTTAAGGTCCTGAACAGTATTTTGTATTTGGTGCTACAAAAGTATGTTCTATTTGGAAAAATATATTGATCTTTTAAAAGAAAAATACTGAAAATATGTTAAATCCGAGGAATTAATCATTTTCCAATAATAGCATGTACAATGCACAAGATGACGAACAATACAGATAACACCCTGACAAGCGCAAAAATTATATTACAAAGAGAATCTAATGAATGGTGAGATGATTGGCAAATTTCTTGAAAAGCAATTTTATTGCAGTTTGTTCAATAAAACTTTCGATGAAATCACACATATTCACTGCTGTTCCTTGGCCTTGTAGAAAGTAAATGTGTTTTATTCTAGTTTAATTATTACTTATTACATTTATTAAGTATGATATTTATATATTCTTTTTTTAGTTTTTAAGAAAGTTTTTTCAGATTTGGCGTTGATGGGACTGAATATGTTTTATTATGTTGTTTAGATGTTTATAAAATGGAAAATTAATTCCAGTAATTTTCAAATTAAATGTCTTCAATTCAAGAGAATAATAGCAGGAGCTGCTGTATCAAAACAACTCCGACACCAATCGCGGGGTTGGAGGAGTCGCCATTCTTGTCAATAAAAAAGTTGTTCTATTGACCTCAAAATGGGTTTCAGTTTCCGAAAGAGTTATTTACGTGGTGCTTCGACTAAACAAAAGATGTGGCTTACAAATAATCCACGGTTACGCACCGACAACTTCGTCAGAAGATGACGAAATGGAAATATTTTTGGGAGACATATCAAACGCACTGAATAAAGGAAGAACACATTTCAGAATGATCATCGGCGACTTTAACGCAAAAATTATTGGAGAGAAAATAGGAGGAGACTTATACTGGTTAAACACATTTTTTAAGAAACCCAAAGAAAGGAGATGGACATGGAGAAGTCCAACTGGTACGATAAAAAATTAGATTGATATGCTATGATTATTAGATTTTCATCTATGACTATTAGATGAAATGCTCTTATCTGCAATAAGAGGAACATCTATAGGTACTGACGTAAGAGGTTTAAATCAGTTTGATACTGGGAGCGGCCACCGGTTGGTTGATTAGAGCAGCAATTTCCCTAAACCTGAGAATTGAAAAAGCAAATTTTCCCAAGTGCAAAATAAATAAGCGTCCATAAGGAGGCTTTTCAGAAAGAATTGGAGAAAAAATTTAACCCCATTGTCAACATAGGGGGAATGAACTTGAATCATCTCGCCGAGAAAATAAGCAAAGACATTCACACAATAAATAGGAAAATTTGTTCCATAGTTAAAATACCAAGAGACAGTAAGCTATCACCAAAAGCACACCAAAACTTCTAAAAGAAAGGAAAACAACATCCAGAGATGTGGCAAAACAGCGGAACCTCATAAGGGAGGATACGGAGACTTTCGCCCGGATAGAACAAAATTTTCAAAATGAAAGATGAGGACTACTGTATGTCGACTGGAAGGGACACGAAATCTCTAGACATGTAGAAATATTTTATTCTCGTTCGTACACCTCTGTTGTGCGGGATCCTAATGTTCGGAAAGTTACCATTTGCAATGTAGATGCAGAAGAAATTCCTGATATAACCCAAGAGGAAATAAGGGTGGCACTAGGACAAATGAAGAACCGTAAATCGCCATGTGAAGACAGAGTAACCTAAGTGAAATCCTGAAAAAGGACGGAGACTTGATGGAATTAGTTATCTTGGTGTTGTTTAAAAAATGTTAAATGTGAAAACTTTTTACGTTGGCGATGGAAGACGTTTTCAAGAAAGCTATAGTGGGAGAACGTGTAAAGGTTTATAGTAGCTTGTTAAACCATTTACGCTTCCCCGATAACATAGCGCTTATTAGTTCAGATATTCAGGAGCTTAAGAACATGTTAGCACAACTAAATGAAGCTGTAAATAACGTCGAACTTAGAAAGAATGAATTTATCAAAAACAAAAATAATGAGCAGGACTGGGAAAACATGGATATTGTAGACGAATATATATATCTTGGTCATGTAATTAAAATGGGAAAGGAAAACCCAGCGGCAGAGATCAAGCGAACAATCAAGCTGACATGGATGGCATTTGGAAAACTGAGTCATATCAAGCATGTCATCAGCATGGAAACAAATGGAAGAGGCCTTTGTTCAGTAGTGGACAGATAATGGCTGACAAAGAAGAAGATGAAGAATAGCAGGAGAACTTGAAAGTTACGGATCATTTCCATGTTTCAACGAGCGCTATTTTTAGAGGATATTTTGCAAATGTAATGTTTTTTGTTTGGTTCTCAATATATTTTTGCAGTTTTCCTGACTTGGAGCAATATAAATTAATTTCAAAGACACACCTAGTTGCAAATTTAAGTGCAAAGTACTATTTAAAAATAACTAATTTTATTACACATATAAATGTTCAATTGGCTTAAGAAAGTTATCAATATAGGAAAGATATCAAATTAGGAAAGATATCAAATATGACTCCAATCTACCACACCCAATCGCCTCACTTTGTTCCTTATTCAAAAAGTAAAAATATGCAAAACACATTTATCCTTTTTTACAAAATATTGCAATGTTCCAAGGCGAAATGCTAATATTTACGAGTGAAAGACCGAATTAATTACCAGAAATGCAGTTTCACATATTGAATAACAAAATAAATCGAGATTTCTGTTTATTTTCAAGTTCAACCAACCACATTTTACACCTTGGCAATAGGAAGGAATAATGCAACAGTTTAGTCAATTGACTACTAATCACTTGCTAAATGTCTATTCAGGTAACCATTTCGGATGGAAATGCTCCTGATGTAGTTTATGCTGCGAATTTATTTTGCAGTTGAGCGACTTGAAAACAATGCAACAGCTTGATGGAAAAAACTTTAATTGGCTATGTAATCGCTCTTAAATTACGCAAGATGAACGCGTGTATTAAGTATCCACATGTTTATATGCAGATATAAACAGTTACGAGATGAACATCTATAAATAAATATGGTATGTATAATTGAAAACCGCAGAATAAATGCAGAATCCAGTTTATAGAACAGAAAAATGTATCCAGGCTTGAGCGTTGTGATAAAACCCACCAAAACCCCACTTATCTGTTCTTATCAGAGCAAAAACTATATTTTGTAATTTAAAATATTTGATATTTCACTAATTTCACTTGTTGCAACAATTAATATACCTAATTCCTTAAAGAAAAATGCTGATCCTACAGGCCATGAGTAATTAAAATCGTTATCCCAACTTTGTCGAAACGTAAATTAAGTCGCAACCGAAATCTTACAAATCCAAATATTCGTATTGTCTACTTCCACTTGTTTAAAGCATTCGATACGCTCCACCGCAATTTAATGTAAGTGTACAAATTTCTAATTAGCTAAATGGCTTTTGTTGGTTACTAAATTATTTGGAAATTAAATAATAAGTTATGTATTGTAAAGTCAGTGGTGTAGTTCGAAGTGATGGAAAATTAATCTGTCTAAAGTGGGTTTGAAGTACAGCAATTAAAATGTTTTGGGTTTTATGTTTTCCAGGTTATTCATATCTTGTATTAATTTGGATATTTTTTTAGTAATATATAAATCACGTTTGTTTTCCGTTTTTTGGAAACTAGGACTTTAACGCTTGGAAGGCCTTATACAAAATTTAGGTGCCGTAAAAATACACCGAATTTTCAACATTTTGCCCACAAAATTTGATAGCGAGCTTCCGCTTCTATAGAAATGAAACTTCCCTTCTTAAAAAAACACTTTAGTGTTTTAACATCCTTGATGTTGTTATAGACGAAAAATAAAACAAATATAAAAATGCTTAAAATTTTCAACCAATTTCATCTTCCGAAAGAAGTAGACCGTATTTGGTATTCACGATTTACAGAAGAAATTATTGCCAATTAGCGAATATCGAAAATAATAACTGTACAATTAAACCGTTAACCTTCGGCATCAGAATGGGTGCTGTACATTTTTGTACATATTTACTGACATACTAGGTCATATCAGAATGGAGGGCAAACCACATATATTGAGTGGCTTTTTTGTATGCTGCATCCTAAGGCTTTACCAGTTTTCCTTGTAAAGTGCCCAGAAATACAGTCAAATATGTCGGAAGTGTGTGAAAAATGTATGCAAGAATTATAGTTTATTAACGTATTACTAGAAATAATGAACTGAGCTAATACCAAATGTACACTATAAATCACAAGACAATTATTCAACTTCTAGCCTGAGGAAAGCAAACTGTTGCTTGGATATTATATTACAAAATCAGCCGCTATATGTTCTAAATTAAGTTATTAGATTTTACATTATGTTAAATTTTGTATAATTGCAGTTCAAGAGAGCTTATTTATATATTAAAATTATGTGCTATGACGAGAAATTTTCTGCATCAATTAGTGATTATTTAACAATCACACCCCCCAAGTAATTTAACTATTAGCAATTTAAATAAATGTCTCAAATGAAAATTATTATTTTCCAAATTTCATAATCTTTACATTTTTTTATTGAACCCTTGTTGATAGATAGTGGTGAACATTTAAAATTGCCACAGCTAGATATAAATTTTTGATCTTTTAGATACGTTTCTGCCAGACTTGATTTAAAAAAATCTGTGAACGGTTACATGTATATTATCATAAGGAAGCGTGTTGAAGAGAAGTTTTCTTTTAACTAGAAATAGAAATACTGATCGAAAGACTAGACCGAAGAAAAACTTATCAGCTTTACACTTATTTTTAACAACTGAACATATGAGCAAAAAAAAATCTTCTATGTATTTCAAATCTATTAGACAAGCAATTTTCCTGGCATTTGCGTCGAAGTTAAAGTAATGACCAATCGTCGTGTGAAAAACACTTTTCACACGCTCAAAACCGTGCGACTTATATGGAAGCTCTATACGGAATTATGTGCAGTGCCATTTGGAAGTACAATTAACCATTTGCAGATAAAAAGTACGTGCAATGTCTTAAAAACAACCTCTGATTTTTTATTAAAAAAAGTTTTTGAATCTCTATACAAGACGTTGTTCATTTTTTTTACAACGAATTCCCATTCCCTTCCAATATAACCAACAGATGACCTTGAACTTTGATCGATGTGACCCAATTTTTTTTAAATTAACCGACAGGTGTATGATTCGACTAAATTATTGAACAGTCATATTTCCACCTGCTCTTTGCAAATGTCATACAAATACAAAATTACCCACTGACTTTCAACTGCTTTCAACCGAAAGTAGAACGGAAACATCCCCTAATAAAAAATGCATCAAACAAACCAGCAATTTCCCGAGAAATCGAACTGAAATGCCCGAGGTATAATAAAGTGGGCATTGCACTTGGTCCTGAAATATTTATTTCAGATGCCAAGTTTGCATGCAGTTGCTTCCTGCAGGATAAATGTTAATGTAACAATTTTGTCTAATGCATTTAATTGACCCAAATACACACAGGTATACAGGGTGTTCTATGATATTCTCTATAAATATAGATTAGCAGATGGTTCGTTAAATAGCTACAAAATGTAGAAGTTTAAAAAATAATTTGTCACCAGAAGAATAAGTAATAAGATGCGTTTTTAAATATATTATTAATATATAAGATTTTAAGATAATTAAGAAAGGAAATTTTAGATATAACATGGAAGAATCAAGAAAAAGGAGAAAATAACAGTGTTAGGTAGAAACGAAATTATCAGAATTGCGTTATTGATATTTTGATGTTCGGTTGTTGTACCTTCATTAAATCACTCACTATTAATCAACTAACAAATTCATTTATAACTTTTTAGTGCAAATTAATGGATATAAAATACTGCAAAGTCCAAAAAGGTGTGTAAATAAAACAAACAATTCAATTGGCTTTCAAGAAACGTTCTGTGTTCTTAATACTATTTTTGTTTAAATTTTTGACATAGTTTTGAAAATATTTACGAGATTTTGACAAGTTATCTAATATTAACGCAATATTGCAACGATATTTAATTTTCAACTTGGATAAATTTTATTTTCAGTTTGAGCGTTTTGAAAAATTGCGATAATTGAAACTGCACACTTTCCCCTGCTTTAATTTTGCCAAAACTATTGCTCCAAATGCCATAAAAGAATATTATATACAGGGTGGCCATTTTGTGAATATGAATATGGGTAACTTCTAGATTTTTAAAGATAGAGAATCCGTTAAATGGGCAAAATTGGGCAGAGGGTACCTAAATTTTGAAAACGGTAATAAATAGGCAATCAAATTCTGCCCAATTTTGCCCATTTAACGGATTCTCTATCTTTAAAAATGTAGACGTTATCCATACAAATATTCAGAACATGGCCACCCTGTATATTTTCAACTGAAACTATATTCAGTTTGCAATCGACAAATCTATTGAATCGAATACAAATTGAGTTTTTTCATATTTTTATACTTTTCTAGTTTTCGCAAAAAATTGAAATAATTCTATTGTTTACCTAAAAATTATTATTATTTCCGAAACTGGATAATAATCAATTTTTCTAAAATAATTGTCGGATTCAGTGCAAAACCCTATTTAAAAAATTGTTTTTTATAAGTAGCTACTTATAGGCAAATAACTCCTGGTTTTTTAGTAAATTTTCTAAAATATCCAATGAAAGGGGGAAAATAGTTGCCACTATTTTATAACTTAATGCAAATATCGCCGTCCTAATAAAATAGATAGGTTAAAGTCTAAATAAAACCGATATTTATTGTGCGGCAAAAATAGCAAGTCAATATAGCTTATTAAAAAAATTTGTCATATTTAACTTTGAAAATAAAGCTTTTGCGACCATTAAACTACATCTTTTGCACTACAGAATGAGACTTAAAGAATTTATAATTTTTTTATAAATGCGATGAAAATTTTACTTCGGGAACAAATAATCGTCGCATTTTTATTATAAAAGTTTCGTATCGGAAGCCGTAGCAGATACCAGGAAACCCTCATGGGTTTTATGAGCTTGATTTTTGAGAAAAAATTTAATTTTTATTTGAGTAATTTATTTATGAGAAACAGAATAAAGCTGAAAAACTGCTGATTTCAACGTTAATGGACTACAGCGTCAAAATTATATCAAGCATGGAAAAATACGATGCTTTAAATTTCAGGCAAATATACAAAAAAGACGTTGGAACCTAAAAGTGACAATTATTCCAACTAAATCGTCGTTTTTTGCACTTCTTGTAGCATAACTTGGGAATTGACCAACAATTCAAAATCTCGTTATATTTGGCGCTCCAAAATTGTGAAATCGAAATAAAAAACATTTATTAATTCGTTTCATTTATAAGGTATAAAGTAACCAAATCAGCAGTTTGGGTTTCTTATTATTAGAAACGCTTCATGCTTTTTAATGTTAAATGTGACTCGTCCGCTTACTTTCAAATTGGTTTACATTCAACAACTGAATAAACTCAAATATATACATTGATTTATGCTTCTGTAAATATTATAAGCATTTTATAGTATGAAAAGTATGTGTGCTGGATATTTGCAGTTTCGATATATTTATATTCAGTTTAAAAATAAAATTATCTTGTGCACACTCTCAACCTTTTTTGTGTTGATCTGTTGGTATCAAGTTTTGTTGCTTATTTCAAATTTTCACCATGATCTTCAACAAAGAAAAGGTTAAAGTTATTAAATGGTGCCAGTCTGATAGCATAGTTGAAATTTCCTAAACCCAGCGTAATAAAATCCTGTCGCGAGCATCCCATTACATTAATCATTAAGTTTCCCGTTACTATTTAAATTAAACTAGTTGGAGTAAAAATTTTATGATATATTTATAAGTACACCAGTCGAAATGTCTAGTCGGTACTTTCAAAGAGGGTTTTTATTTTATTCTCAAATACAGTTCAGCAAAAATGTCTTCAAATTAGAAAATCATACTTAGAATGACGGTGGCAAAAAATCTTCTACTTGAATCCAAAAAATAAGGAATAAAAGTATCTAAAATTATACTTTAACAATTTACTTAACATGAAGCAATCAGCAAGTAGTTTCATCTTTCTTTAACATACCGCATGTTATTACCAGGAACAAATGTTTTCCAAGTAAGTAACATTTGTATTTAGTATCTAGTTTTTTTCAATGAAACAACGCATTTTGAAACTGCTTTGGACATAAGAAGACACAATTACAGTTGTATCTAATTACTTTGTTGTAATAATTAGTAACCTTCACAAATGACGAAAAAAGGTAAATTAGGCTAAAATTGTCAGTATATAAGAAATAAGTCATATAATTGAGATACTTACAAAAATTATAAAGTTGAATCCGCATAGGACGTATTTCACCATACAGGAACCACAGTCGTAAACCATGTCGTTTTCTGCAATAAAAACACTTTCGGATACAAACAATAGAACACCTTCATTACAGTGATTATTATTAATTTGGAAGGTAAAAAAGGAGTACAAAGTCTTCTGAATAAATATTTTATATAAGCCTTATAAGGCAGTGTGTTGTACTTTAAACTCTTAAACGCTCCTGCAAAAAAGGACTTCGACTTCAGCCAAATCATCTCACTTAATTTTCCATCTGAAGCGTCTAAAATAAAACTTGTTTCCGCAGTCTTTAAGCCCTTTCATGAACCGTTTTCAAACCTCTGTAAAAATCGTTAAAACCTAATGCATTTTTCATGAGATTCTTATCATCCACCCTTCTTACTCAGTGCAATGGGAGTTCTTTTTATTTAGTAGAAAAATTATGTAGAACAAACCTTCATGGCGATAAAACATCTTTTTCGATGCCCGAACTTTCAGGCACTTTAAAGCCGATTTTATAGGGTTTGATTTTCAATTTACACTTGAGATGTGGCCTTAAGAAGGACATAATGCAGACCACGCTACGTGAGCTCTCAAGCAATTAAGATTTTTTTTGTGAAACGGCAGGTGCGTTCTCGACCCGATAAACAAAAGGCCAAAAGATTTCGAAGATGATATTAGTGTCTGCCTGCATCTCTGCACTCTCCACATTCTACGTAGCCACAGAATCAGGCTTTTTTTATTGCCTAAAATACTTGAACCTGTTTCCGTCCCTACAATAAGGAGAAATTCCCTTGTCTCTGGACTTGAGTATAGAATGACCGTTTTTTTAATGAAGACATTCTTTTAGTTTGTGTTGGGTTACTTAAATGGGCAGGCCCTAAAATGCAAGTTTTCTTACGAGTAGAACCGTTCGAAGTCTTCAAGGAATCAAAGTTTTCCAAAGCTTGAAAACTTCGAAGTTTTCTTACAGAAAAATACAAGTTTATATACAGTACCAGGTTTTCAATTGGAATAAAATCAATAAATCCCAGACATGTTTCTTTTATTGCGCGTTTTTTTTATGTAAAAAAATTATATACAGTAGGTTCAAAATTTCATATAAATATTAGCTTGTTGTTTGGTGAGAAACAACTCCGACCAAAATGCCGAAACTAGCTGAAACCCTCAATATCGAAAATGTGATAATGGTTGGCTACGAAGTTACCGTTATTTATTCCGAGTAAAATATCCAATTGATTTACCATCCATATTGCCAGATTGAGAAACAGTTCTGAATTCATTCATTGAAGAAAACTGGTTCAACGTCACTCATTGCAGAGAATGAAAAAATGTTGTAAAGATAGAAACATTTCTGTTAAATGGTAAATTAAATCATCAACATTGGCGTTATTAGGCAGACAAAAACTCACACTGGATGAGGTAAAGCCAGACTCAACAACAAAAAAACTAAATGTTTTGAATGGCCTTCCAGATCGCCAGATTTAACACCTACCGACTATTTTTTATGGAAGTACTTGACTAGCAAAGTTATTGTAGACCTAACTGGAAAACATTGAGGTGTTGGAAGAACAAATGCGACAGAACCGTATACATGATCAATATTGAATAAATATTTGATTACCAATGTTCAAATTTAGTTCCAGATCTGTTGGGAACATTTTCGGTTAAATAATGGACAACATTTGGAGCTTTTATTGAAGAAACTTCAGTTTTCAAGTGAAGATGTGATAATTTAAATAAAGATGGAATTACGTTTATTAAATAACTTTTAAATGTGAATTTAAACAACCTGTCTTTGAATGTATCAGAAGATCGGATTTTATTAATTTATTCCAAGCGTTACGTTAACTAGCAAGTGAAATAATAAATCCAGTATAATTTACAATTCGTAGCAAATCCCACATTTTAAGAGAAAATTATCAATATTTTTTCACATGCAACCCAACACACGGTAACGAAATGTTAATTATCCTTAAATTAGTGGCAATTTTTGCGCAGAAATAAAGAATTGCATTATTTAGCATGGTTCACATCCAGTGGCCTCTCTCAAGTAGATTTGATTAGTTAACTAGTTCAGCAAATTGTCATTTGTATTTTTACTACATTAGCTCTCTGAATGCAAATGTATAAAACGGGAATACAAAATATTCAAGAAAGCTCTAAAAGAAGAATGTTGCGTGTTTTTTTGTAAAGTTTTCAATTGTTGGTTTTATTGGGTTTAAATCATTGCCAATTTTGAATTTTTTATAGGTAATACCAAAGCTGTAATATGCTTGTAATTGAAGAAAGGACAAACGAATAATAATTATTTAAATAGTCTTGTAAGGATTGTAAATATAATTCTTAAGTTAAAAAACAATAGTATTGAACTGAAAATGTATTCAACGAGAATACGAGACGATTTATACAAAGTTACTATTTAATTACTATTATTGTTCAAGAAAAATGTGGTATGAGTTGGACAAACGCGAACTGAATTATTTTGGAAAAACCAGCAACTCCAGAATGTTGAATGATTTTAAAACAATCACAAAAATTAATTGTTGTACTGTTTTCAAACAGGGGAAACAAAGAAAAAGTAGTTAAAGTATATGTTAAAAATATACTAATTTCTGCTGATCTCAAATACCTCAGCCATTATTTAAGAAGAAAATCTTTTAAGCTCTGGGGATGAATAGGTTTTGGAACTAATATAAACATTAGGTCAATGATATTTTGTCAATATTTTTAGACATACAAAAAGTGATGTCATAAATGAAAAACCTTTAAAAAGTCACATTTTATTGGTCGTGTAATAATATATTGCCTATTCATTACCGTTTTCAAAATTTAGGTTCCCGACTTGGTTCCTGAAATATCCTGAAAAGACAAGAAATCGACTCTTTTTTTAATTATCACTTATTACGTAAATTGCTTAACTTAGAAAAAAGTTAAAACTGCCCTTAGTATAACTTTTTGCGTTTAATCCAATAAACTAGCACTCGTTATCATATTCAACTTGATTTACGAGATAAAAAATTAACTTATGTTTTTTTAAATGGTAACCATAGTTGGCTGTGGGCCTTTTAAAATCCTCATTTTTTTCTGAATTTAACGATATAATTGATTGTATGTTTTTCTCCTTTTGTTGGCGTAAAACGTCAAAAGGAGATAAACAATGTGTAGTATGATATGGAAACAAGAACACAGCCAACTATGATTACCATTTAAAAAATCATAAGTTTATTTTTTATCTCGTAAATCAAGTTGACTATGATAACGAGTGCTAGTTTATTGGATTCAACGCAAAAAGTTGTGCTAAGGGCAGTTTTAACTTTTTTCTAAGTTAAGCAGTTTACGTAATAAGTGATAATTAAAAAAGAGTTGATTTCTTGTCTTTTCAGGATATTTCAGGAACCAAGTCGTTACCTAAATTTTGAAAACGGTAATGAAAAGGCAATCGAATTCTGTCCAATCTTGCCCATTTAACGGATTCTCTATCTTTAAAAATGTAGAAGTTACCCATACAAAGATTCAGACAATGGCCATCCTGTATATTCTAAAGTTACAGACTTTTTCTACTGAAGAGGATTTAATTAGTGAATAACATTTATCTTCACTCTAATGTTATATGTGGGTGAAACAAATGTGATTCTTCAACTGCAGAGCGTTAAACTTTAAAACCGCTGAAAGCCCAGTCCATTTTTATACATTTATTGTCTTCTTAAAGTTTGAAGCAGAAATAGCAGTTTTAGTACGTAAAAGCATTTTTTACATATTCATACTTTATGACACGATTTCCCAAAACTTTACTTCAAATTTGTTCAAAAACTTTCATCCGTGTACAAAGTACGATCTAGAAATTTATCCATCAATAATTAATTTATAATAGTGAATAGCACAAAATGGAACATCTTCAAGTTAAATTGTACGAACTCGATCTCTAAACTTAACTGCGTAGCCTTACTAGGAGTGAAAGAAACATTGGAAAGCGCTATAAATAAAAATGTTTTAACTGAAGTACGCAGTTGAAATATATGTAGTAAACAGATAAAGAGCAGCCAATCCTCAAGGTAAAACTATTCTTCCGAAAATATTTCGCAAAATTATTAACAATTGGGAAGAAAATGAAGATATACTGAATTATAAAAGCTGTGAACTGTTTTGGTCACAATAGCAAAGTAATAGTTCTTTGGTACATATGTGCAAAACTATTTGAACAGAAAATAAACTATCAAAAGTTAAAATTTCTTGAAGGTTAAAGCCGAACATACGCCACAAGCAACTACCAACAAGTCCAAATGTGCATGAAAATATTTTTCAATTTGCGATTATTTTTATTTAAATGGAATTTTAAACGTTTTTATCTAAAATAATATCCAAAAAAATTAATTACCATTAAAGGCACTGTAACTCGGTTCCAGGTCTAATCCAATTTTGCCACCATCGTCCATTGGGTACTTAAAAATAACTTTCAGATTTTAATAAATACAAATAAAAATTCTACTAATTTCGCAAGTAGAAACCACATTTTTATTGACAGTGTAACAGCGTGTCATATTTACACGCAAAACATAAGCATTTTAAAAAAAATCGTAACATACAGGGTGATCAAATCTAAATCTTTTTTTTCATTAATTAACTGTTGATTATTGATATTCTCTATGACTCAAAAACTATTTGAGCTGCCGCACCAGTTTTCATAGGAATTCATATATAATTCCAAAAACCCTTTATCATTTGAAAATTGCACATTTTTCGCAATTTTAACAAACCGGCATACTACCAGTAGGTACATGTTATACTCAGTTTTACTGCTTTGAAATTAATTGAAACTAATTTGAAATTTTTTGCCAAAAAAGTACAACAGACCCTCGTTTTAAACATGCCGCCACCTTTTTGCTCAAATTTCAGAAACAAATTGAGCGAGCGAAAGACAAAATTCAACATAATTTTCAGTTTTATGTAGTTTTTCCGGCTATTAGAATAAAAGTATAGCGTAGTATATAGTAATCCATATAGCTTTTTTATGTAAATCAAGTCATCAACCGATGCAGCTTTCCCTTCATTCATACGCATCTGTGTCGATAACAGCAGCTGTAGAATATTGACTGAAATAGGGCCCAAATTGAGGGATTAAATATGACTAAATCCCCAACATGAGTAAAGGGAAACAGTTGAAACACCCCATAAAACCTGACAAATGAGATGAATGTATTTTATGAAACATTTTATAATAGAAATCATTAAAGAAATTAACAAAAGCCGGTTACATAATAAACGCTTTCGACTTAAATGTGATATCGGATATGTATTTTATTGTACATTGAACGATTGCTTTGCTTGCAATCGTTATTGCAAAATTTTGAACCTATAAACATGCAGAAAATATTATTATACCTGCTATAAACAGTATCGAATAATCAGATATGCAGAAATGCCTGTGATATTGAAAAATGTTTCTATCGACCATGGTTTTTACCAATTTTACCAAATTGTTAACAACACGGAAAAAAGTGTACTACAGTTGCAGTTAACACTAGCAAATAAGATGAAGTCAGTTTAAACCGGGAAAGCTGACATTTGCAAAATATTTAACTATTTTTTTTGGATTTCTCTAATAAAATAATAAGAATTGTGTTCGGAATTGTGGTGTTTCGTTAATGTAGTTTTTATAGTCAGCATCAGTCATATCTTTAATTCGTATTCAGTCACATTTAAATGTTAATAATCAACTGATTAAAATTAAACAGTTAGTATCTTAAAAGTAGTGATAATTAATTAATTAATATTTATTAATATCTACAAATAAAACAATATGTTTATATTCTGATTTATTTTCCTGACTTCGTGTACTTGTTATGATATTCCTCCTCCTCCGTAGCTTTTCAAGAAGGCAAAGACCTAAAAGGACGTTAATTTTTACCAATCATGAGTTTTTGTAAAATTTTAAATCTGATGATGGCGCTGTTGTCTCGTCGAAACGTAATGAAATAAACGATGTTTCAAAAATGTTTACTTCACACTTTGACTGAAACCCAGGAAGGATTGGAACATCATAATATGTTCATATATTTCCTTTTTATGTAAGTATTCATTCAATAATATTTTTAAACCAGCTTACTTAATAATTATGTTTCGTTTACGGTAAATATAATTTTTTTTTCAATTCTAGTACTGAAAATGCCAAAATTAAGCCAATTTAATTAATTAAATAAAAAAATTAAGCAAAACAAGTTACGAACAGAAAAAATTATACTGATTTAAAACAGATACAAATCACTGTGCTTGAAATAAACAAATTCAAAAGATTGTAATTGTGCTCAACCAAAAATTTATTTGAAAACATTTTTTCATAAATGCGGGAAGCAAGAAAATATTTTCAGTTTTTAAATTAAGAAAAATGATCGTAGGGACCTAGTAAATTAGTATGAACATTTTTATAACTCTTTCAAATATTTTTAAAACTTTGTAATATAAAAATGGAAACTTTTTAATACAGAAAAAGTATCAACTTATTACTCTGCTTCGTACTTCTCAGGCCTCCGACATATTTACAAATAATTGAAAAATTGCATTTTACCCCATTTCAAAAGATCAACGTTAAAATTTTACTCTTTGTTGGTTTATCTTGCATACCACAAGTAGGTGTAGTTACATGTCCGTACTCATCGACCGCCCATGGAAACCCCATTTAACTTAATTCATGCATACTACGTTCTGATAACAGAGGTGAATTGCATGTTTCTTATTTAACGAGTTTTATATAAAAGGAACCGATTAATAGTGAAAAAAAGATTTCTTGGTAGTAGTGAGAGAAAACTGCTTTACATTCCTTGTATGTCCCAAGTACTTTACATAGATATGTGCTAGCAATAAATTAAGTAAATGATCAATAATTCACTGACTGGTGGTATTCTGAAACAGAGCGATACATAAAAAATAACCAAAGCGCTGAAATCGTTATTTGCTTACGATTTTCAAAATTAAGAAAGTAAACAAAATAGTACAAAGTCATATTTAAATTAATCTCATTAACAACATACTTTTTTGGTTTATTTTCTCTTAGTTTCTATTATTTTGAATAAATGTACGTGTATTTTTATTAATATATTTTTCACAAAAATTAGTTACGGGACTAAACAATATTCGTCTTTCTATGAAATTGTCTTTTTAAGATAATGTTTTAACAATAACCCAAAAAAAGTCAATACCAGAAAAAAAATTAAAATTGCAAGACTATTGTAGATATAATTTGAAATAAAAATGTCACGTTTAAAAAATTATTAACTGAAAAATTAAAGACTATCTAGTATCTAGCTTAGTTTTTACTTTTAAACATTGACTAATTAAAAACGTTTAATATTTTTGACCCATTCACAATATAATAAACTTTCTATATGCTGTAAATAATTTGTTATAAATTTTAACCTTATCTTATAAATAAAAGGTAAAAATTTAACTCAATTAACAACATGTTACGATCAAGCATGTAACATTATTAATAAAGAAAACATTTAAAGCTCTTTAAATCATATATATCGAAATTGTTTAAAGCTCGACACGCTTAAAGCCAAAACGAACACTTTTAAATAGCATTCAATCCTTGATTCAACTGCATAACTCAAAAATTGATATTTCATTGATTCGAAGGAATTTTAAATTTAGTTTAAAATGATTCAAAAAAATAAATATACTTAATTGAAATGTATGTCTCCGAATTAGTCAATTTGTTAAGATTGTGCAACTTATTTTTAAACGCTTTGTATAGGTATGTATCTCTCGCAAATTAATCGCAATTTTTTTTATAAACTTCGATTAATCGGATTAAATAACTCGAAATCTGAACAACGTTTATTGTTATTGTTATTTATATTAAGGGGACTTTATACAAAAAAGTTTGCTGTAATTTTGTGTCAAAATGAGTAAATCCGAATCCGTTGTTGAATTGCATCCAATTTCCAATTTATTGTTATTATAAGAAAATATTTAATTGAAAACATTTCAAAACTGACTTTCACACGCAACTGCTTTGACTACTTCATTTTTAACAGTAACAAACGACGCTAATTTTTTATGTAAAACTACCTATTTCGACGCTGTAAAAATGTATTATTTTATATAGGTACGTAAAGTTTAAAATGAATGACTTTAACAACTTTTTTTACTTTTACAACTACTTTTATTTTACATTTAACACTTTTACTTTAACAACTAACACTTAAAATTTCACATTTATATGAACCGTAGATGCTCGACCAAAATGTTTAGTGTGTAGAGAAGGTATTCTTAAGTGGCAATTGCACCTTAAAAACAGAATAAAAATACAAAAGGTAAAAATATATTATATATATTATTACAATAGTGCACTGCTGTGATTTTTTGAAACTTTGTATATGTACATATTTTTGAAACATATTTAATTTAATACACATTAATAAAATGAATAGGTAGGTAATAAACCGGTATTATATGTTTATAACGCGTAAAGCACCAAAAATGCCTTATTATTGCCCAAAATAAATAAAACATGAAATTTTAATATTTATAATAAAAATCACCCTAAACGAGTAACGTGGCGTTATCAATTATTTATTGCCTGTTATACAAATTGCTGAAAACGTGAAAGCAACTTTACATTAAAAGAAACAAATGGTTTCAACAAGAACCGTTTTGCAATGGCCATAAAGAAATTGTAATAAACTATTTGCGGTAATAAATGTTGCAAAGTATAAACACAACTGCCATTTTATTAGAAACTTTCAGCATTAAATTATTGTTAAGCTCATTAGATGGATTTTTTTTCATTATGAAAAGCAATCATATAAAATTTACCTGCTGCTGTCGCTGGTAAATCCAAAAAATCAGACCAAAAAGGTCGCCAAATTGTCGATCCGAAGAAGACAAAAACTCGCACAATACTCGAGCAACATGGAAGTGAATGCGGCGGAACCACTGGTTGTGCCCATTAACCACGACGAGGGAGACTAAACTAAATCAAGTGAATGAAACGATCTAAATTGTTACAAATCGTTGCCTGCACGACTTCCACTACAAAGCGCACTTTGTGCAGCGGCTGGTCAAATACAAACTGAACTGAGAAAAGTGAGAAACAAGACTGAACTGGAACCAGGTAAGCATCAGGTGGGAAAGTGACGTTGGATCCTTACAGCTGCTGCTCGAAAAGATACAAGTTTTACCTTAAATTTGTTAAATTAGACATTCATCAGCCACGGAGGCGGAGTTTCCAGTTTAAGAACGCGAAGATGCTTGAAGTTGTCCTAAAGAGACCTGAAATTATTTCACAAAATATCCCCTGTAAAGCAAACTAAACAGTGTTTTTATGTACAGGGAGATAATTGACGCAAAAGGCGATGGGTCTTTTGTTACTCGATAAATTTAGGCAAATTCTATAAAATTACGGAAACAAATTGAGTTACCATCGTGCCATTAACACTATTGCACCAAAAATCGCTTGCTCATTCGCTAATCGATTTTTTTAATAGATACAATTTATGTCTGTTCCTGATTTATATTGTCATTATTATCTTTATCATTATCGGCTTTATTGTCGCATTTCCTTTTCAGAAAAGCGCATTATGTGCACTCCGCTTCAAACATTTAAAGGTTCTGGTTAAGCCACTGTAGTTAATAAAATTGGTTTTCTACATAATAGATAAATTTTAGATAAAACTGTTTTATTAAAGACTAATTTCCAAGTAGTACAAGCGACATACATTTAATTGGTCACCTAAATAAGTGCTTTCATCAACTTACCCGAGTGGATTCCTAATTATAAACGCCTAACAAATATTACAATTAACTACATGTGAAAAATCTTTAAAAAAAATAACATAAAGATTCAAGGCATATTTAAAATATGTTTTTCTCTAACCACTAATTACCTAACTCCAATATACCCTGCACATAAAACATACAAAGTATCACAAAACTTAGATTCTTCACAGATATTCAATTACTTATATCACGAAAAGTGTTTGAAGCTAATATTCAAGTTTGTGTCTTTTTAGCATGAGTAAAACTTTCAGCTGGAATAATCACCAATTATTCTGAAAGTCTAAAATAATGTCCGTGTGTGGAGCCAAAAAAAGGGCGAACCGATGGTTGCAAAGTAAATTTGAATTAATCTAGAAAAAAAGCCCGATAGTATAGCAAATAGTACAATATCTCTAGAAAGTATATCTATGTAGCTTAGGAAATAACTAAAGGGGCACAGGCAACGCCCCCAAACACCAAGGGCATCTACAAACATGCAGGTCGTTCTAGAGATGTCTGAAACATAAAATAGAATCATGCAACAGTTCACAACAATAGTATAAAGTATAGAGAAAGAGCCAGAAAGTACTTAAAAACAGAATATTGCGTTTTTCAGCCTACTTCACAGGCCAAATAGTCTCAATCAACCCATTTAAATTTACTATTGAGGAAAATTATTTAAAATCCAGAGTTCGTTTCAAATCCAGGTAGCAAAATTCTGTGATTGAATAGAGTAGAATGGATTTTTAAATGGACATTTATTGGAATGATTTAAAATTCCCTTCGTTTCAGAATTGACATTTTTTCTAAATAAGATTTTAATTAGTGTCGCCGCGTTTCTTAAGCATGCAAAAAAATAATGTTAATTACGTCTAATGATTGTATGGTAATCACTTCCTAGAAATGTTTTTGCAAGAATAAGTCCGTCATATACAGGGGTTTTTAAATATCACGGGCATACGGAAGACGATAATTCTTTAGCTTATTTTCGCAAAAAAATAGAAGAAAATTTCAAGTATGTCCTTTATACCAGTTATTTTTTTAGACTTTTAACCCAATTGCAGGATTTACCTGATTAGCCTTGCCTGATGGTGATGAGAAACCACAGAGTGATATTTAGGAAGATAAACTAGTTGGCTTCTGGCTCCAATAAGCGCGCCATAATTTTAAAACAGTTTAGTTTTAACAGTAATTGTTTTCATTCAACAACCCACAAACACACGACAGACATTAAATATAAACGATGAAGAAACAACAGAAAGATAAGAAAAATAAAGCCGCTAAAAGATGCAAGCAAAAACAATCTTTATCCATTTGTCATATCAGTTGTTCACGTCCGTTAATCTGAATCAACATTTAGAAGAAATTGTCGGGTAATTGTCGGTCGTTGCCTTGTTATATATCATTAAGCCGTTTATTAACTCCATTGCAACAAATAATCAGCCTATTTACGTTTGGCAACAAGACCAAATTAATAATTACATTGAGCAGCTAAAATCGTTTGCAACGAGAAACGTGAATATCAGGATATTTCTTAAATTGTATATTATTCCACATACATCCGCTGTCGGAAAACGATTCGATTTTTTTGAGCGCAAAAGCTGCGTTTACAGCCATGGAAAAGCACTTAACATACAGACTAATATTTATGCAACTCTTTTAATTAATTATAATACTGGTTTTCGTTTTGGACACTACAATATTCATCAAAATAGTCAAACCACCATCTGGCTAATTCCTCCTTTGGCAAATATATAATAGAACACAATCAGCTTGGAAGAGTTTAAGCTATTCTTAAAAGTATTTCAAACAATGGTTTCCACATCACTGATCACTTGTATCCCATGCTTGGTGAAAATAAACTTAATCAAATTCTCATCGCAACTCTTACACTCTTTCAGGCCCGAGTTGGATGTTCCCTGTCTGGATTTTTTCAAATCGATTTCATCGAAATTAGCACAACTTTTAGCACTTTTGATACCCTTAACATCCCCTGTTTTTTTCATACGAACCTCGTCTCGTAGAATTCGGTGATCTCCAGAACTTTCGGTAACAATCTTAACGGCCTGTCCTGGATGTCGCGTTGTAGGGATTTGGATGTGACTTTTAAAGGAGTCTATGCTGCCGACAGACATTTTGTCCAATCGCGAATTACGATTGAATATGTTATTATTGCAAATGTATAGACAATTTGTTGGACTTGGCAAGTCTGCCGACACATCTGAAGGAGATGGTGTAAGGAGAATCGGGTGAATGCCATCATTGGGAGTTAAGTACTTACTGCGATCCAATGAAAGCAAGGAAATAGGCATTACATTAATAATAGTTAAGTAAAAGAGATTGATAAAAACGTGAAATTTTGCATTAAACTTCACTTACGTCTTCTGGGAACCATATAAAGAATGTTTGTGAATGTACTCGATTACTATATCAGGAATTAAGTATTTTACTGACTCCGATCGCCTAAGCGCTCTTCTGATCTTCGTAGAACTAATTTCGTTCCTAATCCATTCGGTCACTATGGTGATATTTGCCTGCAATGATTTTTCTGACTCAATTTTCGATCAAAGTAAAAAATTACTCTGTATGTCTCACCATGTATTTCGTTAATATATCCGAATTATAGATGAATTCTGTAGGATTCATGTTGCATCGCGTAATTACAATCAAACCGTGTTGGCCCACAATAGATTCAATCTGAAATGTTAGTTAACTCAAAAACTCAAACCAGGGCTTTTTGTTCTTTTACATATTGATACTCTAATGCTGAGAAGATATTATTTGTTATAGGAGAAAAATTGTATATTTCTGTATTCAATTAACAGCTAAGAAAGAATTAAAATACAGTATTAACCATAGAAACGAATATCATAAGAGATAGACTTTCAAGACCATTTCTTGAAACTAATGGGTTTTTCGCGTTTTTAGGCCGTCGTTCGGTAGAATTTCTTCCTGACGTTTCGCAAAGACGATTGGCTTGCATCTTCAGAAGTGGTTTGCTTGAACGCTTACACTGTTCCGATGAGCGGTGCTTGCGAAACGTCCGGAAGAAATTCTACCAAACGACGTCCTAAAAACCCGAAAAACCCATTACTTTCAAAAACGAATATGTTCCACGAGCATTTATTAGCAGTTTTTTGTATCCACTGGAAAAAAAATATTAAATTGGGCTACGACCTATCAGCATTAAGTAATCGAACATGAAATTGCATAATATTCAACTAAAAGAACAGTAGCGAAAGCATGCAGTTTGAAGAACGAAAAATTTCTAAAATATTAAATAATGTTTTACATCATCATCAGCCCACAATCCTGGAGTACCAAACGATTCGAGTAAATCTGCGCCGCATAGAAGTTTTACGATGATGCCCTGATTTGTTCCACAATAACGGCTAATGTTATCAGGCATCCACTTCAGCTCATCCTCATTGATGTCTACGTTGTTTTCCGATTTCAAATAGGCATTAATTTGATTCTGAAAAAATTATTTCGAGTTTTTTTACCAACACACATTGAACAGGCTTGCCGTCGAGCAAACGTATATTAACTACCTTAAAATAAACTATTTAAAGGCAAAACACTTGCAGGATCTATGCGAATACGCAATTCATAAACACACAAAGAGAAGTGCTGAAAAAAAGTGGTGTGCGTCACGGGACGCTCGACAGAAGTGATAACTTCATATTTATAGAAACCATAAAATATTGAACTTGTTTAACGCATGATGGCAATAATTATTTTATTTTATAAATTTAATATTCTTGGTAGTCTAATAATTTATAAATGGATCAGGAATAGGTCAAATTTAATTTAATTTCCTTTTGAATGTAAAAGATCTTTTTTATTGGCAACATTTAACATTCTTTAACGAGATGCTGTACATATTGCTCTTCTTGGGTTTGTTGAACTCGTCTTCTTGAGTTTCTGTATTTTTTAGTCGTAATTTCCTATTTGCTTTGTATAATCTTTGACGTTCAACACTAGTTCGTGGTTGATGAAAGCTACTTTGATTTGATCTATTACTTAATGCTCCTTTTTTAGCACGAAATCGTTTTTGGCGATCAAAATTACTTAATCCCTTTCGCATTGTAGCATGTTTTTGTGACTGCTCTTGTATATGTTGTTCATGATCGTCTGCTACAACTTGTATCTGAATAGGACTAAAAAATCAATTAATTTTGATGATTGGAAGACGTTCTATCTGTTTAAAATAGACGGTAAAACGAGGAAGAGCTATAGAGACAGGATACACTTGACACACTATATGTATACATAAT